CGAGTAGGGCAGCATCAATTACCACGGTACCAGGATATAAGGACTAATATTATAAACGCGAAACTGTGTGTATGGCTATTTGTCCGTTTTACAGGGCAAAATGAAACAACGCTCTATGGAAACAAGGCTTTGACGTAATTTTGGAAGTGAAGATCTTTGAATGGATGGAGAATAACAAACACAGGCTATTTTCAACAGATTTTAAAAAAGGAAGAGGTTGTCAATTCCAATGTATTTTTTTATGTGACTTACAAAATAAATGCATAATTCGTTTTTTTTAAAACATGACGTAATCATGACGCTACGACCAATGACAGCAGGGCAGCGGGTGAAACCGCGCAAGAGTAAGTAAGTAAGTATATATTTTATTAGGATACCAATTTGTTCGTGCCAGTATGGAATGAAAATTATCCAGGGGAATAATTGTACTGTGTGGTCTTACAAATGGGGCTCCATTCCATTAGAGACTTGATTAGTGCATCTACATGAAATATTAGTGATAGCGTATCCTTTGTTTTAGATCTAGTAATGCTAATTCGTGTTATTAATTGTCTCTGTGAGATAAGCCGGCTAATGTAAAGGCAGACTGAGGAGTTATTGATGTGACGTGAGATTTATTACCTACTTATTTATACCACGAACAAACAGATATATATGTTATAACTTTCGTAAGACATACTAAATTTATTGTTATTAACTAAAATCGCGGGTTACTCACGTGAATATACTGAGAAAAGCTCTACTAGTTTCGAACAAACAGTGAGCTGCGCGACGTCACCGCGACCGCGCATGCTTTTCATGAGGAAGAACCCCTCCGTAGTTCGAAACTAGTAAAGCGTTTCTCAGTATATTCACGAGAGTAACCCGCGATTTTAGTTAATTTAGTATGTCTCACGATAGTTATTATTTATTAATATGTTTTTCGGTTTACTCACGTAATTATTTGACGAGGAACTCGACTAGTTTCAAACCATGCATGCATGCCATGAATATGAGCCTCTAGCATGGCTTGAAATCAGTCGAGTTCCTCGTCAAATAATTATAAATACGTCAGTAAGTCGAAAAACATAATAATGGAATCATAGATTAATGTGCATTTTACAAACTTGTGTGGTGAACACAAAGTTTCTGCTGACTCCCATGGGAGACAGGCGTGAGGTTATGTATGTATACAGTGAGCACATAGGTAGGTGACACTTAACATTATTTTGGTAAATGATTAGTTTAGGTCATCCTTCACGCTTAGTTAAGCACTTGGCACTCTTAGTTAGGAGCTTGTTTAGGGGTGGTTGAACAAACAACAACAATATAAGTGAAAAAACCTAGTTCGTAACTAAAATCAGTTTTGAACTCTCATTAATTATGATTGTTACAATTTTTGTTAATTACGGACTGTCCTGATGTTCCAAAACTCCTGTTCCCACTACTGATATCTTCTCACGATCCGCTAAATCGCGCGGTACAATAGCGGTGGTTCAGTTTGCTTAAAACAAAGTAGATTCACAGCTTACACAATGTGTGGCGAACAGTTAGAAAATTATTTATGGACTATTTTATATAGGTCGGTAACTTGCTCTCCAGAGGACTGGTTCTCTAGTAACATAGGTAATAAGGAGATTCCTTACAAACAAGATTTATTTTATTTTATTTTTATTGAACTTCATAAACTAATTTGGACACAAGGATTTTGAGCCAATCTTAAAAGCCTTGGTATCAAATTGATACCTCAAGCTGTGAATTTACTCTGTTTAAACCGATTAGAATACAATTGATTTTACATTAATTTTTCTATCATTTTCAACAAACAACAACGCTATCGAACATCGATAAAGGGTGCAAACCCGCAAAATGTGATCACGGGATGAAAAAACCAGGAGATACGAAAAAAAACAGAATTTATTGAACTAAAAATATCAATCACATGTACTATACTAATTACTTAACCTACTATTATATAAGAATATGTCAGCAAGGGCACGGGAGATGATCAAGCGCATACACAATAGAGAAGCGTGGAACATGCGATGCATGAGTACAGAGGCTTTAGTTTGAGTTCCTTGGAGCAGGCCAATCGGTACACGTTCGGCGCTCTGATTGGCCTGCTGCAATGAAACAACCAATCGGAGGGCTTAACGCGGTAACGATCTCGTTGGACGTAAAACAAAATCGTCCTAAGCCCCCAGAAAGTTTAAAGAGTGAGGAAGACATTAACGGCCCAAATAACCGATTATTACCTAAAATCATTGGATCAATCTCACTTCAGTACAGAAACCCCATACAGCTAATATCAAAAATCGATCCAAAGAAATTGATATTATTAATTTCGGCAGATAAAGATGAATAGTTATTGTATGAGAACCTTCGGCAATCCTTCGATGTTTTTTTGTAGTTCAACTTTGTTATGACACCATGGCTTTTGATCCCCGGACGCAGACATTAAATGTAACATTATAATGAATTATGATCGAAAATATAGCTTTTTCTTATAAACGTTCTGCATAATGACATACAATAAAGACAAAACAAAGCAACGCCAAATCAAAAGCATATAAACATTCACAAAACTCCGGTAAGAATATAGAAAAAGGAGTGTATCTTCAAGTCTGTAAGATGTAGGTAAGATACAATAGCTAGTATACTTTTTTTATTTGTCATGAAAAGTTTTTATGTAAAATTACTCCGTCGCATTAGACTAAGTCTGTAATGATAATTTTAATATGTGTGCAATAAATAAATAAACAAGAGCAGGACTAGAAGTCTCGACAGTGACGACCGCAGAAATCAATCGCTAAGTCAGAATAACAATAATAGATTTTCAACTTCAGTATCAAAGGATAAGGTTGAAAATTGTATATAAAAATCCATGACTTAAGGACTTTATTTGGACGTTATTAATGTCGGGGCTCTGCTGTAGCTTACGATTTTTGTGCCTGCTCTTGGACTAATAGATAAATAAGAGAAGATTTCGAGCCAAAGCATTGCTTTGTGTGTTAAACTTATATCAAGTCGAAGTATTGGTCCGTTTAACTAGTCTACTGTTCTATTGATCATCACGATCATACTCTCTTGAGGAGTCTTAAGATATGCTTGTCATCATCGCAAAGATTAATAGCGTGGTGACGCAAAAATTGATACAGACTTGAAACTATGGAGATCATATTAGCCTAGTCTACATAAAACTTGGAACTTTACCATTTGATACAATAAGATTATCCGAACAGCTAGTTAGTTTCCGAAAATTGCTACCCTAGCTATTTTATTCATGAGAAAATATGAGAAGATCCACTAAAATTTTATACTTAGTATAGTAGTATACATTTTACTTCTTTATGTTAAATGCTCAAAACCTAGATAACTAACATATTTTGATAGGCCTGTAGACCTATTTCCACCTTAACCTTTCCGGGCCCACAGGGTCGCGGTCATTTGGGAGGCGTGTGAAGGGCCTAAGCCACCTGCGCAGAAGCCCTCTGACAATTTTAATCTAAATGTAACGGACACACATACCGGCGACTATCCCTGTATGTACCTACTATGGAAATGCACAAAAGTACAGTCCCCGGTTAGTGTAGAACTATTGTAGATAATGGAAAAAAAGGTAAGGCTATGGATGGGCTGCTGTGCCTGCTGTGGAGTGGTAAATTGAGAACTATAGATGACTATAGCACCTGCCGAAACAATGTAATTATTACACGTAAAAATGGCAGGCGGAGAATCGCCAACTCACCGACCGGGCCCCGGGAATAGTTGCTAGGTATAGCAACAGAGTATTTAATATTAAGTATTTCCACCTTATTATTAATTCGATTAATAATACTTATAAAGATCAATTTGCAATTTCACTGAGTAAACATATTCGAAGACCGATATCATCTCGATACCCATATCATTCACCTTAATCACCGTTGAACAAACATATTAATAGAAAAAAAGTCAAAAACTAAAAAATAGACGAAAAAAAACGATACTTATGTATCTTAAAAATAAAAAAAAACTTACAGATAAACTTAACCTCTTAACTTATTTCGATATCAGTTAAATAATAAAAATGTACGTAAGGTAAATCAACATTTATAGTCCTATTACTTCTTTAGAAGATGAATAGACAGGATTAAATGTTAGCCTCAAAACAAAGAAATGCAATAATTCAGACTTTGAGAATATAAATCACTCAATCGAGCTGTACACAACATGTGTTATGAAAGCTCTATCCAAGAATATCGTATACACACGATATATTTATGTACAGTTTAAAAACACCCGCACAACAACCTACCCTAAAATGCCAAATAATATCTTTAGAATTTCAACCTTATTAATTGTGGGTTAAGGATCTGATTATTTTAAGCTCAGCTTGATATAAATATGATTATGTCCAGACGCCAGGTCTGTACTTAATATCACACAGGAATCAGTTTTCACATCACAATTGGAGAAGAAACAATAGGTTAAAGTTTTTACCTATAATATATCTACCATTCAAGATAGAATTAAATTATCATATAACAACTCAAGTTATAAATACGATATCTGTACTAAATGTTGCAAAGCCTTATTCCGCATTTTTATAACCGATAATTAACATGTTTATTTGTTCGGTATAGGTCATAAAAAGCGTGGAAACAAGAAACGAAGTCTAATTGTCATGCAGAAACTAGAATGGATGACGGTAGGAAGAACATTAGGCTTACAGGACTTATAAGCGATGATGAATCGATAACATTAACATTTTTTGAGTATTTCTGCCCGATGCTTATCCAATTTTTACAGAAACTAATAGGAAAATAGTGATTACTGTAATCAAAGTAACACAGACACCTACAGCTTACCCAAAAAAATTAAGAACTTTTGGAGAAAACTTCAAAAGGTTTAGTGTTTAAAACTCCCCAGTCTCTGGCAGTATAATAGAGTCCACAATATCTCTGATCGCCGCCAAAGACAAGATTCTACTACAGTATATAACTAGTAGTGCTATAGCAAACATGAACACAAATACGAACATTAATTTATACGTATCCGATTTCCGCTCGCTCCGTAACGCCATCTGTGGACAAATAAATGTAAAATTATAAACTTTCTTTAATAATTTTTGTTGTAGTTCTAATTACTACCAAAATACGGAAGTTTTTTTTTGTATGGCAACAAAGAAACTTCCTCATTTTGTGGGATAACTAAAAAAATACATTTTTTTTTGTTTTTAAATAGAGAATTAGATAATTATATGTGACAATGATAGAAAAATGGTGGCTTGGGAAATGCAGTGCAAATAAAGTAATTTAATTAGGGACCGAACATATTTTAATTTTACTATAAAAAAATATCTAGCAAAGCAAACAACAGTGTGGTTTGTCAAAATAATTTTGATAATACGTTTTAATTCTAAATAATAGATATGAGTATATTTTTTACTGAAATTATCAAAATCATTTTGTTAGCCATGTCTAAGGCCACTAGTATATTGCCAAATAATATTATACACGACCATTAAAGAGGTATTTTCCAAGTCGTCTAATTTCAAAATGTGCAATACATAAGAAGCAGTATGATAGTGGCCATTAGAAAGCAATAGAACAGCATTGAACCTAAATCCTAACACTTAGAAGTCTAACTACACATCAACGAACACTCAGTATAATTTTGGTACACTACTGACTTTTTTCTACATACATATTTCCAATCATGTGGACATGCAACTTTCGGGAAAAGGAAAAAAATATACAAAGCCCTCTTTTATTAGCGGAAATTCACTTTTATTATCTCCGCTAAAGAAATAGGACTTCATATATTTCGACATAAGATTTTTATTTTAAATAAATATTTCAGCGTACTGATACTCACTTGCAATCAGCCAGCCCAGGATGGGGCAAATAGGAAGAAAAGAAACCATTTCTAGTACATTTGTGCCACATACATGGGAATCTATACTGTCATCGACGTATTTTTTTTTTATTGGTAGTATCGGCATTTGTCCACTGTCTGATGGTAAACGATGATGCCTACGAAAGAGCGTGCTTAGTCGCCTACCCATAAGCAACCTGTTTACTGGACCCTTCAAAATACCCAGGTACTTTTTGTTCTAGACTCTAATAAATGAAAAAAAAAATTGCACTGCATAGATGGAGCTGGTGCAGCATTTAGTCTTCTAGCAACTGATGACTGACCAATGAAATGATTGTAAGTTAGCGCTTCTACTCTAGCGATATGAAAGCCCTTACTTAGCTCAGGCGCTGAGATAATAATAAAAATGTTATGTTACAAATTCACATTAAAATTATGTACTTTGAAGTGTCAATAAAATTGTAATAGGAAAACGTATTACGACTTCACAGTATAATGACACATGACACAATGTGTTAAATTATTGCCTTATTTTTACTTAAGAACAGCGAGATATTTTAAAGTACAGTTAGGTAAGTGAAAAAACAATAAATACGACCAATGACAGTATATAAATCTCATGGGACACGTATAATCTATCGACTATCATAAACACGGTACTGGACATAAACAAAAACATGTTTTATTTAAAATACAAAAGCTGGACAAAAACCAACGTCGCAATTAAATATAGAAATATTTAGCATCATGATTTATGGAACTATTTTTGATAATATTGTTTAAACTTTACCCAAACCGGGTCAACAGACAAATTAAGAGCTTAAAAGACATGGTGTCCAATAATTTGCTGACTTATTTACCAGTGCCAAAAGACTAAGTGTCAAAAAAATTAAACCCAATTTGGGTAGAGTTTCAAATTTTCAAAGATATTTTGAGTTGTTTAGTATTTTTGTATTATATCTACACTAGTTACAGATGAGAATGACATAGTAGGAGAGGGTAGAGTACCTCATTGTCTGCCCCGCTGCCTCCGGTCTTGTACTTGTGGTAGGGAGTGAGAGTGACGCGGTTGTTCTTGGAGAGGACTCGCATAACGTCAGGTGCCTGGTCGCGCTGATCCAAGCCGACGAAAGCTGAGCATTCGTCTAAGAAGTAGACTGTGACTGCCCCTGTGAAAATGGAAAAAATGGTTTGTAACAATATTTAGTCAATTTATTTTTATGGCATAAGCCGGTAAACGAGCAGACGGTTCACCTGATGGTAAGCAAACGGCGCCGCCCATGGACATCCAGAACACCATAGTCTTTACAAATGCGTTATAGGCCTTTTGGGGATTAGGAATAAAATATGAGGATTTTTAGGGATCAATACGAGATTGGATATTGACATTAGACAGCGTTTATAATTTTCGTACTTCGTTACCGTAACAGTATTCTTTCTACGTGAGTTAAATCTATACAGATAAATAAAATTGGAGTATCTGTTTGTACGATACATAATTATACCGAAATAACACTTCTTACAATTATTTGTCTTGAGGAGTATCATAAGCACCTGTTTTTTTATAACGCAGACGAAGTTGCTGGCTTAGCTAACTATTTATATTATTGTGACGTGGGACAAGACAATTGGCAAAAAAGAGTGCTTTATCTTAATTATTGAGAATATCTAATTTGACAAGACAGTATTTTATACGACGCAAATGTTCAAATCAAGACTCTTTTCACTATAACGCGTGGATCGGAACCAAGAATGACGATGTCATTACTATACTAAGGGCCAATAGAAAATTTTATCAGAGAAACAACTGAATCTTTGATCATTATTCCATACTTAAAACTGTCAAGTGTTTATTTTATTCTACAGTTAAAATTTTTTGACTGTTAGTATACAGTTAAAACCGTTGACTGCACGGTTGGTGCGGTGGCTGGGCAACCGGCTGCCGAGCAACGTGTCGCGGGTTCGATTCCCGCATGGAACAACACTTTGCGTGATCCACAAATTGTTGTTTCGGGTCTGGGTGTCATTGTGTATGTGAAATTGTATGTTTGTAAACGCACCCACGGCACAGGAGAAAAGTCTCATATCGATTGAAAAACCGACCCTAAGTTAGGTATGGAAAAGTAAAACTAACTCACCGAAAGGACTGAACAGTTGTGAGAGATCACTCCTCTGCCACTCCTTGGGGAAGACGAGGTGGAACACGTGGTCCCTTGGTGGTGTCGCTGAAACAATATAATAAGTGGTTTGTGTACAACAAAAACACATAGTATAAATACAAAATAGAAGAATGGCGTTAATCCTCGTAGATTACTCGACAAAACGAAATATTGACTATAAACTTGATGCAATGGTTGAATAATGGTGAAAAAGTGTTCAAGGCAGTTCGAGTATGAGTAGTCTTTAGGAGAAAATATAAGATCCTTACTATTATAAATGGGAAAGTGAGTTTGTTTGTTTGTTTGTTCCGCTTTCACGCCGTAACGTCTAAACCGATTGCTTTGAATTTTTGCAGACGTAAAATCAGAAGTCCGGATTAAATAATAGGGTACTTTTTATCCCGGAAAATTTTGGTATTCCCGAGGGAAAACAAAAGAATTGGTATAGATGGCGCTGTGTGAATTGGTATAGGTTACTTTTATCCTTTTGTGACGCGAGCGAAGCCGCGAGTAAAAGCTAGTAATTGTATAAATATAAAACTCACGGTCAGCCCCGTCTAAGTTGATATACGGACTGTCCTGCCTGGCAGTCTTTGCCAGGAAGAGTTTGTTGAGGAAAGGTTTGAGTGCGACGGACTGGGGTTGCACTCGGTCCGAGTCCTCGCCGCGCATGCGCGCCAGATGTCCGTGCATGGCGAGGAAGCACAGTCCTGTGATGTACGCGTCGTACCCGGCCTCGTGCTCCTTGTCGTCCAGGTGGGAGTAGCCTCGGCCTTGGCGAGACCCTGGATGATATAAAAAACTAGATTTTATTATATTCGAAAACTAGACTGCCTCGTTGGCCGAGTGGTTGCAAGTGCGACTGTCGGGCATGGGGTCTCGGGTTCCATTCCCGAGTTGGGCAAAGAATTACTAGGTTTAAAAAAAAAACCAGTAGTAGCACAGAGTGTGGAATTATGCCCGGTATATGGCAATAGGCTCACCCTCTATTACATGGGACTCATAACATAAGTAGTGAAAAGTGGATGTCACATTGTACAGTGGCATAATGTGCACCTCTGCCTACCCCTTCGGGGATACAAGGCGCGATGTTATGTCGAAAACTTATATGTCAAAGTAAAATCCTTTTTTTTCTCATGGCACACGGCCACACTGAAGAGGGAAAGTTCAGTATATCATTTTATTATGTATGTGTAAAATCTTACCAATTTTAGGCAGAGAGAATGGTGGTTCGCCAAGCGTGGACAGTAACTCTGTAAGTACACTGGATCCTAGCTTGTCTTTGAATGGCGGTAAACTTGACATGTACTTCGTGTCTAGTAGCCTGCAAACAAGGAATTATGTTAAATAAACATTGTTTTTGTTTGTTTTGTTTTTTTTTTAGAAACATTGCCCTACACTAGGATTTTCTCCTGTGTCGTGGGTGCGTTTACAAACATACAATACTGATATTGTGAGTGATATTGTCATGTGTATCTAGGTATGTGGATCACACAAAAAGTTTTTCCGTGCGGGAATCGAGCCCGCGACACATTGCGCGGCAGCCAGTTGCTCAGCCACCGCGCCAACCGTGCAGTTAGCATTACAGATGGTTTATTGGTGAAAATAGAGACTATTTGTATGATGATGATGATGACACATCTATTTTCCAATTTAAACATTTTTTTATAATTACACATGTGTATGATGACTTACTTTGGGAACATGCAGTGTGTGAACTCTTTGAAGGCCGGGTAGTCAGACGGCAGCTGCTGGAAGAAGTGGCCCAGCGTGTGGAGCAGGTCCAGCAACATATTGTGACCCACTACCAGCTTTTCCTAAAATATACAACAGAATATTGCATCACTCACTATTCATACAAATCGTTGATTGCATGCATTCGTCAATCGACTCTTCGTAAGACTTTTTTTTAAGGGGGGAAAATCATTGAATGACTGCTCCCGCCTGGGTGAGGTGGAAGGGAGTGTCAGACTCTTACTGACTAAAAACCACCCCGTTCCTTCTCCTGCACGTCGAGCCGGAGCCCCGGTAACCCGTTAGGTTCTCCGCGACGGGCATAAGAATTAAGGATCAATTTACACCGTATTGGAATGGAATAGAAGCGACTTTGCGCAACGATGATCAACTGTAAACTAAGCCTAAGATTATCTCCAGTGTCTAAATTAACTTCTCTAAAACTCACCGACTGACTGATCATCTGTGCAACTCTCGAGAAGCCAATAGCTTCCTCTAGCTCATCCCATTCTTTCTTTTTTCGTAAAGTGTCTTGGTCATCCATATCCGCCGTTTTACGTATCACTTTTAGTATCCTGAAATATAAAATAAAAGCAGTTTCTTTTTAAATTCATCCAACAGTGTATTTATTTGTATCATATCGGATCTAGAGTAGATACAACCATGAAAACACCGGAACACTGAAGTCTGACGCGTCCCAGGGATATGTATAACTGTCTTGGTTACCGCAACGAAATAAATCAGAAGATATTTAAAGAGGAGAGGAAGAATAAAAACAACAGTTTATGTCAATATAAGTAGTCTTCCATTGTTATGCAGGATTGCATGATATACAGGTATAGGTACAGGTAATATTAAACCTATGCAGACATGGCTACACACCACAATAATAAAAAACCTGTATATACCTATAAACTGACTGTCTGAAGTTTAAAAAGATCATACAAAGCAAAACATAGCAAGTACACATCTTACTTCTTACTAATATAATAAATGTGACAATTTGTTTGTTTGTGTGTATGTTTGTTACTCAATCACATGAAAATGGCTGAAGGAATTAAGATAGAATTTGGAACAGAGATAGATTATTATCTGGATATAGAGTAACACGGGTGAAGCCGCTGGCAGAAGCTAATAAAATAATGTTAAATACCTATTTTTATTCTCCAAGACCTTCGTGTCAACAATAACTTCATCTTTAAACCTAAGTTTTAACTCCTGGAAGAGCAGCATCCTTATAAACGAGTTGCATCTATTTATCTCCATTTCAGCGTCCGTTGATTTCTCAATGAAATTCTTTACCTTATTACTGTGGAATGAAAATATTGATTTTAATTCTTAATTCTTGATTAACAAAGGTTATTATTGTTTAGCTTGTTCTCTTGTTTATAAATTAAATATGTATGGGACTTGACACCTAATGAGACTTGACACTATAGTTTTTTTTTAAACTTTGTCCCACACTAGGATTTTCTCCTGTGTCGTGGGTGCGGTTACAAACATACATGTTCACATACACATTACACCCGGACCCGGAACAACAATATGTGGATCACACAAAGAGTTGTTCCTTGCGGGACCCGCGACACGTTGCGCGGCAGTCAGTTGCCCAACCACCGCGCCAACCGTGCAGTCAACAACAACAATCATCAACAGTCTTCTTTCGAAACTATTTTTAGAATGAGCACCTAGCTTCACTGACAGACAGATAATTCAATTTTGATGTTCCAAATAAAGGATTAATTGGAATAAATACTTTCAGTTTGTCAGTTTTAATAGACTCTTACCATATATCCTCAATTTGTTGTCTGTTTTCATCTGGTATTCTTACTGCGTCCTTTTCTTTGGAATATGAGAGCTGCCTTTCAGCCAGGTTTTCTCTTAGCTTAGTCTCAGTCGAAGTTGTCATGTATGAAATACCTGGATTAAATCGTAATATGAAAAGAAAAGAAAGAAAAAAATCTTTATTTCACACGCTTAAACAGGTGACACATACAGATTTTACATATAAGTTTATAAATCAATATCTACTAATGTCCCAAGTCTGCGGTGAAATGGGACCAGTTCAGCATGTGCAAGACAGGGCCTCGCCTGGTATCTACTGGCCCCTTAACCCGTTGAAATTCATCCCCTAAATTTGTTCATACAAAAGTAGTCTTTAAGCATTCGAAATAAGGTCTATAATATAGGTAGTGGAGAGCGGTCACCGGTGACCGCTTGGGATTCTATGGGTTAAGTGACTCGCGGACAAACAAGCCACCAATCAGACAAAAATAAACATTAAGCAAAAAAGATATTAATTTGAATTTGAAATTAATTACTAAACACACACTATAACACACTCATAACAAAATAAATGAAGATAAAAAGCAAATAGAATATAAATGTTAATAAATCCCTGAATCTTTGAGAAGCCTGCATGCACTGTGAGTTCATCATAATATTTCTTTACAGGGTAGTCAGATGGTAACTAAACTTGACTGGATTTCTTTTTAAAAGTAATTTATGAGCAATTTCATGAATGTAGCCACAACAATTATTCATGCCAGAGTTAATGACTCATTTGGCAATCCAGTGTCTATCTACCCTACCAAGAGGAATATGATGATACCTACATAACCATTATTATGTGAATTGAAATAAAAAAGAACACATTTAGTAAAATAACACATTTAGTAAAATAACACATAAGTAAAATAAGAAATTCCAATTAGAATCTTATTAGGTTTAATAAAATAAACAAAATCCTGCATATTGCTGGTGTACCCTCTTAAAACTATTTTATTATTAAAAGTACTTGAATAAAATTGGCATTTGTGAGTTAAGTACAGTAAAGATTATGATTACTATATTAAAAACCTACTCATGCAATAGATTTGTAATTATTTTTTTTATTCATGTACCAATTAGAAAATATGTTTTGTTTACATTAGATTCTAACTAGATTTCTCACAAAACGTAATGAATCAATTATAGTACATGTGTTACCGATAACGATAACGTATATTACCTTCTTTTATAAGTTTATTGAAGTCAAAACCATTTGATGCCAGGAAATCTAAGCTGGAGCTCTGGCAGAGGAACAATCTATCGGGCCCTGGCCGGCCTCGCGGGTACAGATAGAAATTGTACGTATCATTCAGATAGTGGTTCCTCTTCTCATCCCAATAAAAGCAACTCATACCGAATTGTATCAGAAGAAATTCACTGGAGCCATTCATCAACCGAAGGTAATAATCCTCCGGTGAATCGAAAATGGTTACATCTCGACCATTTATAAGCCCTGTAAACTCCGTATCTATCGCCAAAAAGTCAGCTTTATCTATAGACTCCTTTATTAAGGGTAATGTTTCCTTAAAATCTGCAAAAATAATAAAATCAATGAGTGTTTGCCGCGCTTACCTTTTCATAAACTTATAAGAATATTTACTCACTTTTACGAACTACCTCCATTCTATTTACATATAATTAAATCAATAGATTAATACAATAACATTTAGAAAGAGATTTGTATATGAAAATTGTTTATTTATCTAATAAAACGAACAGAAGAAACAAAGATAATACAGCTTGGTTCCCATGCGCATGTCAAGTAAATGTCAAACTGAAATTCAAAACGTCAAGTATTGATTTTGGTGGACGCAAGTACGAGTCTTTTGGCATGATAGGTTCTACAATTAACACGTTTTAGGAGCTAGGTAGGAGAGCCTAGTGTCCTAGAGGAGGTTTCTTCTTATCTTCTAGTAGTAGTAAAACTCCGATGAGAGGTGTTGACAAGAATGATTTTATTTCGCCAAACTACGCTACTTATATTTCTATTTACATATTTACAACTAGACAAGATCAGATATAGTTAGGTGATAGTTTCGACCAATAGCGGCGCGCCGGCGTGCGCGGGGCGCGCGGGGTGCGGGGCGCCGCTTTGCACACGGCACTATCGGTTCCTTCCGTATAAGTATGACCGCGCGGCGCGAGCGCGCGCATTTCTCCGAGAGCCGGCGTTGAGTGAAGACTGAAGACTACCTACAGATGAATGAAGATGAATGCAAGTACTCCGGCCTCCGGCTCCGGCTCCGCTTGCGCTGCTTGGCTGCTTGCTTTACCAAACCGCTTCTTTCGAAGCGATCGCTCGCGGCACGGTGTGATAACGCTGTTGCCGCAGTGATGATTATCGTTTCTATGCAGGAAAGTCGAAAACTGTCTTTTTCAAGACAATTGGTTTCTGGTTTCTTAAACTGTCAAACACCAAGCGGTCACCGGTGACCGCGACCTATTGTTCTTTAATTGTGTCTATAAAACCGGTACTCGACGAGTTAAAACGGAGTCAAAACGTAAACTGTCTTTTTCAAGACAATTGGTTTCTTGTTTCTTTAAACGAAGTGAGTCTATAACTTTGGTAAAGGTATTGTGGAAGGTATCTGGTATATGGAAAGGTATTCGGTGGTACTGGTAACTGGTAGGTATGTAGTCGTGCGGTGCGGCTACAACGTTAAACGCCATAGGGGTCATCGGTGACCGGCGTTAGCGGAGGATTTACCTTCAACAGTTTTTTATTGGCAGTCAAAGTCTTAATAAATGTGTAAAGGTATTTACAATTTAAGGAAAGGAAAAAAATCACATTAAATCGAATATAGTGGTGTACCGCAGTGTGAGCGGCGGGGCCGGCTTGCCTCTAGCTGTACTTCTTGAGTGATAAAATAATTATACTACTTCAAACTTACACAACTTTTCAAGCCGTTTGAAAGGAATATAGCATTTTTCAATGTAGGTATGTATTCTGTTCCAAAATTTCGTTTCCTCTTACTTAGTAGCAACTGGTAACATTGTACTCCCTTGCAAGGATTCCCCATAATTTATTTTGTATTTGGATTGATTAAGATGACTAAGCTGACAGACACGCCACTAATCAACTCTTACAGACATGTTTATATTGGCTTCAATGAGATAGTAAAACCACAGAGATCTTTTTTTAAATTTATTGCACATAAACTTAAACAAAACAGTATTCTCATCATTAGTCACTAAAACACGCAAAAATCATTAACTAATTAAAGGTAAATAAATTCATTCATAATTATTAAAGTTCATATTTTGCTTAGTTTTTTTTTATATTTGATGGCCCGACGTTCGACCAGTATCTCGCCTGGTGGTAAGTGATGATGCGGCCTACGATGGAGCACCTCGTTCCATAAGTAACTTATTCACTCGGACCTTGAAGACACCCAGGATTCATCTTAACCCTATCTGACAAATATCGAAAATTAAATAAAGGCTACTTTACCAACTTTATAAAGATGTAGGTATAATGCTGGAATACTGAAACGTTACTCAATTTTAAGTCGTGCTTAAACATCGTGCCATCTCTGTCATTTCACAAAGAATTTGTAGAGACAGAACTATACTTAAACGCGACTTAAAATTGAGTAACGTTTCAGTATTCCGGCGTATGTCTTTTAAATTTCTGTTTCTTAGCTACAGATAAAATGAACATTTCATCAAAACTATACTATAACAAAGTCCGATTACGTTTCAGACTGTTAGATAATTTTACAAATTTCGAAAATATCAGACAGAGTGAAATTTTACATCAGACATTATGAACATCCTGTAGTATGTATAATCTTACAATATTTTTTCAATATGACTAGATAGTTTTTCATAGGCAGATTTGTTCCTGTATAGGTGTATGTTAGCCTTGACCTTCTTCATCAGAGTCCTCGGATCAATATCGCTTAGCTTCATAAGTGCCTCTGAAATAAACAATTGTGGAAATAATGCGATTAAACGTTATAAAACACTGATCATTATTATGGTTTCTAATAGACTATTAGAACATAATGCTTGCAGTATTGTTAAGAAACATCTATGCGTCATAGGCTATGCCGCTTTGAGGCCTTAGTACGAGTTTGATTTACGTTTAAAGTAATCGAAACGAGTACGCGTTCGGCGCTGTGATTGGCCGGCTCGAATGAACCAACCAATCAGAGGCCTTAATACCAGTTTCTTTTACGTTAAAAGTAATCGAAACGAGACTGCATTCGGCGGTCAGAGGGCCAAGCACGAATAACTATCGCATTCGTAACATAATAGTATCGAGCGCGTTCGGCGCTCTTATTGGCCGGCTCAAGTGAACCAACCAATCAGAACGCTTAACTCGCTCTGAGGCCTTAGTACGAGTTTCGAAACGAGTACGCGTTCGGCACTCTGAGTGGCCGGCGCCAATGAAGCAACCAATCACAGCGCCGAACGCGTACTAGTTACAATTACTTTAAACGTAAAATAAAATCGTACTAAAGCCTCTGATTGGTTGGTTCATTAGAGCCGGCCAATTAGAGCACCGAACGCTTACTCGTTACGATTACTTGAAACGTAAAACAAACTCATAGGTACTACGGCCTCTGGTGTATTTTCGATCGGTTTTTCCGATACCCGTTTTTTCGATCCTTCATAGTTTAAAATTGAAATTAATCGAGTAATATTAGTCAATCAATAATTCAATAGGCACAACCTGCTTAATTTAACATGTTGCACGCTCACTACTTAACAATACTTGAATCCTGTGATCCTTGTTATCAAGTCTTGAACTCACCAAGCATTTGTTTCCTGAAATCTTCGTCAGCATCATCAAGGTGTATGAGCATAGCGCTATAGAGTGCGTCGACGTGCGCCCCGTACAAGGTCACGTCGTACGGTTGCGGGCGGTTCGTGAACAACGTCACAACTGTTTGTACCGCAAACGAACGAACCTTGTCGCTGCTGTCGTCCAAGCGTTTGAGTACCACTGAGGGATGGAATTTAATAAATCGTTTATTTCCAGCATGAACCCATAGAAACAAAATATATCAATCATAATACATCAACCAATATTTTGTAATACGATTAGAAGATCAATTTTTATTAAAAGGAGAGGGTGCTTTCTATATTGAATATTATTGCACCGACCACGCTCTCACTGCATCACCTTAAGGTTGGCTACTAAGAATGCCAATTGCATTAAGCCCGCCTATGTACTCTTGTTGCATAAAGTTAAATAAAATAAATACCATTGAACCACTTTCTTTTTAAGCATTGTCCCACACTAGGATTTTCTCCTGTGTCGTGGGTGCGTTTACAAACATACATAGTTCACATACACATGATACTCAGACCCAGATCAACAATCTGTGGATCTTTAGGGAACAGAGTGTATAGTTCCCTAAGATCGGAAAAGGAGGATCCTCCGACCAGGCGAGGTGATCGTGCCTGGCGGGCTTTCTGCCCAACAGTTGTTCGTTGGGATTTTCTATCCGTGTTTATTCGCGTGTAAACTTTGCATGTGCGATGTAGGATTCTTGTGACGTCATGTGGCATGCGTCGCCACAGATCGCACAAAGAATTGTTCCGTGCGGGAACCGAACCCGCGACACGTTGCGCGGAAGCCAATTACCCAACCACCGCGCCAACCGTGAATTCAAATTCTAGCAGAAAGCAAACATAGATTGCACTTACCGTAGTACAGTTTATGCAAGACATCTCCGGTGAAGCAGTGCCGTCGGCTGGCGAGCACGGCGAGGCAACACACGGCGCGCAGCGTGTGTTGTCGCGTCAGCGTCGAGTTGTCGTCAGCCAAACCGACCAGCAAAGGTACCATCTTCTCCAAGAACGGTTCCAAGGACTCCTTGCTTGGGAATAAGTTTACACCCTGGACATAATGATATTATTTATTTATTTATTTATACTTTATTGCACACACAGACATTTCAATAGTCATTTGAGTACAATGGGCGGTCTTATACACGCGGCGATTTCTTCCAGACAACCTTTGGATGAATCAAACCAAATGAACCAAATGAAATGAAGAACCAAAGTGATTTTTGGTTGTGAAAGCCATAAAAGATATAAAAAGCACGAAGCGCTTTGCATCAAGCTTCCTTGTACTGCTAAGGAGTAAAATTCTTTGCCATGTATTTCCTAAAGGTATAACCTGGATGTCTTCAAGGGCCGAGTGAATAGGTTGCTTATGGGACGACGTGCTCCATCGTAGACCGCATCATCGCTTACCACCAGCGGAGATAGTGGTCAAACGTGGGCCCATGAAATATAAAAAAAAGTGTAAGTACCTTCTCATCCTTGTCTCCGTCGCCCCCCTTTTCCTCTGTCATTGGTGTTTCGTTGTAAGGGTTCTCCTGCAAGGCGGAGCACAGACAGGCCACGGCCGCAGTACGGATCGCTTCTGCTGTACGGCCCGCGCTCCACACCAAATTCGGCATGATCACTTCTGCCATAGAGAAGATAACAAAATAATAGGGTAGTTTCCTAAATTTTATTTTAATGTCCGTCTTGTACATTAATTTAAAACTTAAGACAAGTATTTTTTCTTTTCTCACAAAATTAAATACTTTGGACGATATATTAATTCAAAATGTCGTGTGACGTCACAGTGTGCCACATTTTGTAGCACGTTATGACGTAACAACCTCCCACTCTTAAACTTAGCGCCATTTCATCTAAGTATTGCAACTTAATACGGGAAAATAAGAAATATACGTGTCTAATATTTTTTCATTATCTAATTGACGGACTAATTAAATTTTTAATTTTGATACCTTGCAAACTACCCAATTATGTAGCAATCGAACCCGAGACCCCTTGCCCGGTAGTCCGACTTGCGACCACTCGGCCAACGAGGCAGTCGAGTTATTTTACTTAAGTGAAGAAAAGAGCAAGACAATGACAAATAGCATCTTAGCACAATTAGAATCCTGTAAAATAGACGGACATATACCTAGGTTTTAGATCGCCTGATACTGATGTAGTAATTACTAGTGATGCAAGTATGCAGCATCAAGGTGTCGATTTGCTTACGGTCAGTTGATCCATCTACCCATAAATAGGTCCTACATATATATACATATATATAAAATAAAAAAGAACCGATATAAAATATGACTTACCTTCAATAACTATCTTGAGGAAGGCCTCCAGTTTGTCAGTGTCACACCTTGTGAAGTTGGTATCTCTCCTCAACAGTACCGTGGATAGAGTGGTGAAGATCTTCAGCTTCACCTCCGGGTCCACCTTGGGAGTCGCCAGGCACTCCTTCAGGAGCGGCGCTATAAGGTGCAGCTGGGAACCCATTGCAGATCCTATAGAGGAGATGAAATTAAAAATAATTCATGATCGGTCGTATAATTTAGAAAGAAAGAAAGAAAGAAAAGAAAGAAAAATAATTTATTCGCCATCAGACATGGACCACCAAAAATTTACAAACAACATATACATTGAAAAACAAAAAAAAAGAAAACAATATAAAAACATAAAATAACAAATTAAAAAAAAAACAACAATAAAGCAAAAAAAAAAACATAAAAAAAAGCAAAATAAAAGAGACAGAGTGGCATTTACACTCACTTTTTGCAGTAATCGCTATAATTTACAACTACTAATATAAAGCTGAAAAGTTGATTAGTTTGTTCGCGCTAATCTTCGGAACTGCTGGTTCGAATTTAATAATTTTTGTGTTGGATAGTCTATTTATCTAGAAGGCTAGAAAATATGGCGTTGCAACCAATAAAAATTGTTTTATATTCAGCAGTTTCTTTTTTAAACGTTGCCCCACACTAGTATTTTCTCTTGTGTTGTGGGTGCGTTTACAAACATACAGGTTCACATACACATTACACCCAGATCCGGAACAACAATCTGTGGATCACACAAAGAGTTGTTCCGTGCGGGAATCGAACCCGCCACACGTTGCGCGGCAGTCAGTTGCCCAACCACCGCGTCAACCGTGCAGTCATTGACGTGCAGCATCCTGTGGCTGATATTGATGAATCAATAAAAATCGTGGAGCGATTAGAACCACGAGGGAATACCTGATTACTTAAAAAAAGCCAGTTCATCATCTTTACCTGCATTTAACATAGCACATTCGAGCAAGCACTTGTCCGGCGACAGTTGCGTCCATGTGAGCGCGTCGCTGGTGATGGAAGCCAGCATCTTACCGAGGTGTCTGTCGTACAAGCTGATCAGGGTCTTACCGCACTTCTCCGCGTAGCGCAGCTTGTCCAGATTAGCTGGGAATATTGTTCTACATTTTAACAATTTTTTTTTGTATTATAATTTTTGTGAGACATACTAAATAAATTATTATGTTTTCGGTTTACCCACGTAATTATTTGACGAAAAACTCGACTAGTTTCAAGCCATGGTAGAGGCTCATATTCACGGTATGTAACACTGTTTTTGCGTCGACCCGGGATTCGAACTCAACACCAATGCAGCTACCTGCGGTCGAGTCTAGGGTGCTAACAGTGTCGCGCGCGCCGCCGTCGTCGATACCACGAATAGAGGTGCGTGCGCGTGAATCACGGCAGAGGGCGCGCTGGGCCCACAGACTCGAATCGCCAGTAGCAGCGCGACAGTCGCCGCGTCGCTTTTTGTGATAAGCAAAGTATACTGGCAGCTAACAGCTTGTTTAAGATTTAATGGGCTTTTATGAGAACTAGAAAATTTAATAATACTTTTTCTGATTTGGCAATCCATGCCACGACTTTTTGCTTAATGTTCGCACTTTTCATTACCTACTCCATAATAATACTTTATTGACCTGGGAAACCTACACGAAACTCCTTGCTTCCCTAACAACAACGAGGCGGTCAAGATAAATAGACAAAAGAAGAAGAAGTACTTATATTTATCACTTATACATATCTTTATCTACTTAATGCTTAAGATAACTTACCAATAGCCATAAATTGTATACGTTCGTCATACGGTATTGCTAACACGGTGAAGTTAATAGTAAACAGTTCATCGGCAACTTCTGCGCATGCCTCGCCACACACATCCAGCAGGGCCTCACACATGTGCAGCAGATTCGTTTGGTATTTTGGCTGAAAAGGACTACTTAATTAACCGGGTTTATCGGCTTTATGAAGTCACTAGCTACTTCCGCGCGGTTTCACATGCTCTGCTCAGCTCCTTTTGGTCGTAGCGTGATGTTTTATAACCTATAGCCATCCTCGATTAATGCGCTATTCAACACAAAAAGAATTATTCAAATCAGACTTGTAGTTACGGAGATTAGCGCGTTCAAACAAAAAAAAAACAAACTTCTGCTTAAATAATAGTATAAAGTATAATAGTAAAAGAAGTATAAAATATAAGATTTACAGCCCGATACTATCCATTTCTGAACCATGGGCCTTATGTCTATCTACATAAAAGGGTTTACCACAACCGTCGCACTACGCAAGCGGGTTGAAGATCAGTTTAAAAGCTTGAAACCATCGGTAACACAATTTTCCCCCAAATCCCCAATTATCCAAAAACCCTTGTAGCTTTTCTGATGTTATATCCATAGAAGGAGATATTGCTTACTATCAGATGATCCGTCTGTTCATTAGCCCCTTGCCTCTATTCCATAAAAACTCTTTACCTTCCTAGTCCTGCATCTATCAGGATCAGCAGCCTCCCTAGTGAGTTCCACCAGCACTTTCTCCTGGAGTAATTCCGGACGCGACCCCTTGATGATATTGGCGATGACTAGCAGAGCGGCCCAGGAGTCCACCTCGGCTTCTAACAGTGGCCACCATGTGGTTGGAATTATGAAGTAGCCAAATAACTCTGCGGCGCGTTTTATCTGTGGTAAAATGGGATTGCCGCGTGAGGTAGTGCATTTTTGCTTCAGGACGTATGGACCGGAGTCCACCAGTTCAACCGGAGTGATACCACGACCTTACAGAAAACCAGCATGAACCTATTGCTTCCGTTGCATATCGCCGTTCGCCCTATATGTATGGCAACTGAAGGCCGAATGCCCTTTCTTTTCAATGGACTAGTTTATTGTTTCAGATCTCTCCTGTGAAAGGAAAATCTTAAAAAATTTAAGCGTATTAAAAATAATAGTTTTAGTTACCTCCAAAATGACCCTCGGATCTTCATCCATAGCACCGCGCAGCATGGCCTTCACGATCGCGTTGGCGTGTTGAGTGGCGCCCTCTTCCGCGCACAATATCAACCAGCACAGTAACTGTGATACTCGGAGTCTCGCATCTGCTTGCCAGCCGTCCATTTCTAATGAGCAAGAATTTCTTTATGAAGAAAAGGCAATTTTGAATAGCAATGGCAATAGATTTTCAAATGTTAATAAAAAGGATAGATTTGACTGCACGGTTGGTGCGGTGGCTGGGCAACCGGCTGCCGTGCAACGTGTCGCGGGTTCGATTCCTGCACGGAACAACACTTTATGTGATCCACAAATTGTTGTTCCGGGTCTGGGTGTTATTGTGTATGTGAACTTGTATGTTTGTAAACGCAGCCACGACACAGGAGAAAACCCTAGTGTGGGGCAACGTTATAAAAAAAAAAATAGATAATCTTTAGTGTATTACAGGGCGTATATGGAGAACTGTCGAGCAATGTTTCTTAGCTTCTCAGATGCAATTCTCGAGGCAGACGACAAAGTTTTTGAATTTCAAAATCATCCTGGATAACCATAGGACATCAACTTACCTCGATTGATAGCTGGTACTATCTTCCCAATATTACTTGTCACCAGAGCTCTACATCCGAAGTTAGGTCTCTGCACGTCGGGGTAGTGTGTGGGCACATCCTTCAAAAAGTCAGTCTTTTTCTTAAAATCTTCTTCATTCTCCTCCATGTACTGACGGCCAATGTCATTCCACAAGTTGCTTGCTGTGGTTCTTATGTCGTCAATCACATCGCTCAAACTGCAAAAAAATTAGTTTCATAGAAATTTCATTGTGTTTGTGATTTTGGAGACTGAAGACTATCAGAACTATATATTAAGAGACAAAAAAGGCCAAAAAAATTATCTGCTGACTCTTGCTTTTTTTAACACTGTCATGTGTTACGGTGTGATTATCTATGCGCACTTTCTTAGCAATATGCTTAATGAGCAGTTCATTAATTACTCGCGAGTGACACAGAATCTAAAAAAAGGGTTTAAAGAACTATCAATAGTTACCTAGTGAGAATTAGAGGTAGCATGCGATGCCAGAAAGAGTATCTGTCTCTATATGTGAGCATCCAGTGGCCGATTTCCAATGTAACCTGCATACGGACCTCAGTGCTCTCATCAAACAACTTCTCAGCCAAAGGACTGATCGACAGCTCAAAGCATTTTGCGTTGCCTGCTATCACTACGGCTCCTGTGAGAATAGATATAAGTAAGTATGTAACATTTTAATGAAGTTGTTCTATCTGTAAAATATTTTATTCATAATATGTATATCTTATTGGACATTATAATTTTTATGTATTTGTAAAGAATAGTAGTTGCTATAAAATATACCAATAGCTTTGATGGCTGCCACACGAACTCTAAAGTGACGATGGCCAAAGTTGGACAATATTGGCTTCACATAGCTCTCGGATTGAAAGTGGAAGTCTCTCTGAAGGACTCTTGTCACCATGATTATACACTCAGAAGCCTCAAGCTTCACCAAGTGAAATGGATCAGTTACAGTCTTCGTTAGGATGCCAGTGAAGTCGTTGATAAATGGACTGAGTAATTGAGAGACTTTGTATTTTTCCAAAATCTTCCGCACTAACTTAATCAGTACCAAACGAATTTCCTCAGACTCTTCGATAATTTCAGCACACCCTATACGACGGACGATCACAGGCAGAATATACGTCAAGTAGTAATCGTTCAGGGGAAGTTTATCAATAAAATTAGAAATAATCAGTGCTGAAGTTTCCCGACATGCTTCCGAAGCATCCGAGAAACTTTTCAGGACGTATGCGTACACTTCCGGGAAGACGACAGTGAGGTCGCAGTCCTTATTTGCAGGGTTTTCAAATATCTCTTCATTGATTTTCAACAGCGCCTGCTTTCGAGTCATTTTCGACTCGCTCTGTAATGCAGTGATATGAGTCTCCAACGCGGCGCGTGGATTATCCATTAAAGTAGCCTTCGATTCCACCATTTTTTGTATTTAGGAATATTCAATGCCCGCTAAATATATAATATCGACAAAACAAAATATTCCAATATTGATAAACAAAATCAGTTTCCATGACGACTGGCCGTAATAAGGATAAAAATGGGATGGATCATGAATGACATCGGATGACATTGACAGCAGATTCTGAATTTCTAACTCTGACTTTGACATATCAGCTTTGATGAAATGGATGAATGTCAAAACACAAACAGCTGACCAGTATCGTAAAATGAAGTCGGTTATAAAAATAAGAACTAATAAATATCGACTCTTAATCGACTAAATTGATTGCAGTCGACTAAATTGATTTATAAGTTACATTAACTCTTTTGTTTAAAACATTTAAGCCTTTATGGTCTTTAGATTTCTACTAGCCCTAGAAAATAATATCAACACTTAACGAAGTTATTTTGGCTTGACCTTTCTTCCATTACTTGTCATATTGTGTGCTCTTCTTAGTTTTTAATTAAAATCAGTTTTATGTTAGCGAAAGAGGTATGTAGGAAACTAGGAATCGTAGTAATTGGCGTTTCATAGTCTCTGCCTACCCCCATGGGAGACAGGCGGGAAGTTATGTATATATGTATGTATGTTATTGTTACACACAAACTTGCAAGAGTAAAGAGAAACAAGTGCAAACAAAACAACAAATTCAATCACAGACTTGCTGAAATCATCAAACATTAATCGACTAAAGCCTTGTAGTACTTACCCCCAAAATCGATTTGCAACACGTGTCCATCTCAAAGATGCCAAGTGCCAACAACGTGCACCAATCACAGGCCGCCAAGTAAAGCTGTCAACGTTTTCAATTCCATGAATGGACGAGATTCTTCTATCACCTTAATTTCGTACTATTTCTATTTTATTCTGTTGCAAGTTACGGTGCCTGTAGCAGCTGGAGTTAATTTTAGCCTAGCTTTTAAAAATTAACAGTTCAAAATGTGCAAACTCAGTGTGTTTCATTTATTATTCTTGGCTACAATCGTCCAAGTTACAATCGCGCTGAAGGAAGGCGATTGTGAAGTTTGTATCAAAACCGTAGAAAAATTCGCGGCCACGTTATCAGATGATGTTAAAACGAATCCTAAACTAATTGAGGCTGAGTTCAAGAAGTTTTGTAAAGGAAGTAAGAATAAAGAGAACAGATTTTGTTACTATTTAGGAGGCCTTGAAGAATCCGCCACCGGCATCCTGGGAGAGCTCTCAAAGCCGTTGAGTTGGTCAATGCCCGCAGACAAAATCTGTGAGAAACTGAAGAAGAAGGATGCCCAGATCTGTGACCTCAGATTCGACAAACAGATTGATCTAAACAATGTTGACCTGAAGAAACTTAAGGTTCGCGATTTGAAGAAGATTCTGAATGATTGGGATGAGGTCTGCGACGGTTGCATTGAGAAGACAGATTTTATCAAGAGAATAGAAGAGCTTAAGCCCAAATATATGGGTAAAACGGAATTGTAAAATAGCTCAATTTTAAATTAGGTAAGGTTATTTTACAAATATTCTTTTAGTGTCAGCCATGTATAATCAACCCATGGCATGTCTAATTAGTAATAACATAGTGCTATGAAACTGAAGGTATACTTGCATCATTAAAGTTATTTTCTCTATGCAAAGTATTCATTTGATACCGTAACTGATTACTTAGGTCAACAACCTGATGTACAGTTGTAAGACTACTGTACTGCCATGCTCATTTGATATCTATGTTATGACTACAATGCAATTTGAAAAGATTGCTTCTTTTATAAATAAACAAAATCATCATACCTTCACATATGGTAAATAGTTTGCAGAAAGATCAAATAATTTCAAGCTTGTTGTTTTTCCCATCAAACTGTTGGTGTTTAGTGGATACTGAAGGCCTATTAAATTTAATTTGTTTATTTAGGAGATGCATCAAAATATTGTTATGAGTCGGTTAAGGTAACTGCAACTTTATTAGTTATTGTGAAACCCTAAAGAAATCAGCATAAAGAAATCAGTTGAATCTTATTAGATTTAACTATTGAAAGAATTTATTGTCGAGGTACTTTAATTTTGCTAACATTATATTTATTTGTAAAATAAATAGTAGTTCATTCTACAGAAATATCTTATTATGAATCAGCCAGTAAAATTATTTCATGACAACATATTACGTCAACAACATAGTCCATAGCCACATTGGACTCCCCAAATTTTTATTTTGGTTCTTGATTTTGTTACTTACAATAACCAATAACTGTTTACTCAGAATTAATAAGTTTTTTCTTGTTACAGAATAATTCATGGGACACTTCATGTGATATGACATCTCAGTAACAAGCCCTGATGTGCCAGACAGAGGCATTTCTCGTGATCAACCGAATATTTGCATTTGACAAACTGTATGCAAGTGTGTGTGGGAGAATGCATGTGTTGAATAAATTATTATATTGCTATTAAGTAATTAAAAATATTTTTTTCAAATTGTACATTTTATTTTATTTAGTTTACCAATATACTTTATACTGAAATCTGTTTCTAAGGGTCTAAGGGTTATGCAAAAATTAAACTTATTCTGGAACCATATACAGAACATATTATACTACCTGGCATATTCTACAGTGTTTGAATTGTTTCTCCAAATTGACACTACATAAAATTTTACCTTACATAAATACATAAATCACATCTATTATTTACACAGGTGCAAAGAGTATAATAAGTATAGGGGAACCCAGGGTAGGCAGTAAAACCCGTGAGTATAATTTGGTAGTATAAAATAACCTGCATCTCTAAAGAATACCAGTTGGTACTAGTGACTCCCGTGTAGTTTCATCAGTTGTTCAGCTCCTATTCATCATAGTGTGACGCAAAGTATAATAAGTATAGGGAAAGTGTGACGTTAATTGTAGCCTTCATTAGCAAATGGAATATTGAACATATAAAATTATTCAAATTAGATCTGCCATCAGAGATTAGCATGTTCAGACTCCTCAGCTTTTATAATTTCAGCATAGATAGGGTAAAAAATAAACACAAAAATGAGTTCAGGCTAATAACTTTATTGCAAGTATGCTTGATCTAGTACATACAGATTCACATGATCATTTGAATAGATAAATAACATGCTTATTGATGGCATGACTTCCAGATTAGTGGTATTTGTAGTTCCTGTGGTGCTCTGAAAAATAAAACATTGCTAATGTAAACATCTCTATTACTGGAGCAAAACTTATTGCTTATTAAAGTGTTGCCAATTAATTGATGCATTTAATGTCATTGCCAATGTTACCTACATTGAATTTCAAGTTCAATAGCAATTTGGCTGAAATAGTTACCTATGTTGTGTTTGTTTAACATATCATTCTTACTCAAAATCATTCTAATAAGCTTTTGCAAAGTTTATTTAATTAACAACTAGGTAGATTATTAATAGTATTAGTCTTTAAAAGACTATAATAATGATATTTGACAAAAATAAAATAAAAAGAGTATGATAATATGAATAATACTTACTCATCTTTCCGTAGTTGATAACATAGAAGAATGTCATGCTGCCAACCAGCAGCTGGAAGAATGGAGCAATGCCCACCTTCTTGGGCTGCACATACTTGTGTTGCCACCTCCACCAGGCTGAAACCATAGGTCAGTTATGGTTATTATGGTGTCATCTCTTATTGGATATCCACTTTACATTATGAGCATAACAATGGTTGTATCTTTACAGGTGTTGTTTATGGACAATATTGTTGGAATAGAGTTAGAACTTATCTTTTAAAATTTTACAATTAGTGAGAGTACCTACTTCTATAATACATTCATAACCTCAAACTTATTCACAAAAAAAAAACGTAATTTAATTGATTACCTCGGCTGAAGGCTCCAGCGATGGCCTGAGGCGACTTATTCCTGCGTGCCAACCATGAGCCGAGCTCATTAATTTTCACCTGTCCGAATGGAGTATCAGCTGAAACCAAAATTGAAAATTACATAATCGAAAATGGTAAACTTGAAGGGCGACATTATTTACTAGCATCATCACTTACGTTTGCCATAATAACGGGCAGGGTCATAGGGCCCGTGGACTGCAGGGTTATATTCCTTAGGATAATCACCGAAACCCATGATTCCTGCGGTTTCACAGAATTTTTATCGAACGAAATTGACCTCGGATTTCGGTGTTCGGTCAATCTGTCAACAAAGTGTCAAATGGTAACCATAGACAATTATTGCCATTTTTCAGTGAATTCAATTTTTCTTTTCAATGAATATCATAAGTTCGTTATCTCTAGTGCTTACTTTGCTTCTTGTATACCAAAGTTAAATCAATTTATAAGTTAAGATTTTGAGCTTAAACTAAACTGTTAGCTTCTTTTATTATCCGACGTCCTTGTACATTTTTGTCGTAAAATATTTAAATCTGTGGAATAATAATATTCTATGACATCTGTGCACTTTGCTCTATGTTTCAAATTTGATAGTCTATGATTATACAGCAAATTTCATTCTTTGTGAGGTGTTCTCAATTTGTTTATTTCCAATTATTCGCTGAATAATCAAGCAAAATGGTCTTGGAAAGTACTATGATTTGTGTGGATAACAGTGATTATATGAGAAACGGAGACTTCCTTCCGACAAGACTGCAGGCACAGCAAGATGCAGTAAATCTGGTATGTCATTCTAAAACCCGATCAAATCCTGAAAATAATGTGGGATTATTGACGTTAGCCAATGTAGAAGTATTAGCTACATTAACCAGTGATGTAGGCCGCATCATGTCCAAGTTGCACCGTGTCCAGCCCAACGGTAACATCAATCTTCTGACTGGTATCAGAATTGCTCACTTGGCACTGAAGCATCGCCAGGGTAAGAACCACAAGATGCGCATCGTTGTTTTCGTCGGCTCGCCCGTCGAATCTGACGAGAAGGAATTGGTCAAACTGGCTAAGAGGCTGAAGAAAGAAAAGGTAAACTGCGACGTCGTATCATTCGGGGAAGATGCAGAGAACAATCCACTACTGACGACATTTGTTAACACTCTGAATGGTAAGGACAGCGCTACAGGAGGCAGCCACCTTGTATCTGTTCCAGCTGGAGGCTGTGTCGTTCTCTCTGAAGCCTTGATTTCCAGTCCATTGATTGGAGGTGATGGAGCAGGCCCATCTGGTTCAGGTTTATCTCCATTCGAATTTGGTGTTGATCCAAATGAAGATCCAGAACTAGCACTTGCTCTGCGTGTATCTATGGAAGAGCAAAGACAACGCCAAGAGGAAGAGTCACGTCGCCAACAAACCAACACCGAAGGAGGAGAGGCAGGCAAGACTGCAGAACCTCAAAACACTGGTATGGAAAGAGCATTAGCTATGTCTCTAGGTCATGAAGCTATGGAGTTATCTGAAGAAGAGCAGATTGCACTTGCAATGCAGATGAGTATGCAACAGGAGGCACCTCCAGCAGAGGAAAGCATGGATGTGGCAGAGGAATATGCTGAGGTTATGAATGATCCTGCATTCCTACAGAGTGTACTGGAAAACCTCCCAGGAGTAGACCCTCATAGTGAAGCTATCAGGAATGCCATGTCCACCATAAAGAAGGACAAGGATGAGAAAGATGACAAGGATCAAAAAGACAAGGATAAGGATAACAAGGGACCTGGCTCCAGTTCTAAGTAAACACAGCATTGTTTTTCAATTTTTTTAATTGATACATTATGCTCGTAAACTTTAACATTAGACACCACGCTGGAGTGTTACTATCACTATAAATTTATTGAATACAGATTGTTTATAATTTAAGTTGTATATTATTTCCATGTGATCCAATTGAGCCCTTCAATCTTATCATATTCTGAAAAGATGTTCATGTTGTTATTTTAACCGTAGAGGAAGTAATGAAATGTTCATATTGCAGTATTTGATCTTTGCTTACTTACTAGACTCTACAAAAAACCTTTTACTTTGAAATTTCTTTTTAATTTCAATTAGTTGTCGTCTTCTCAGGTCCTCATTAAATTTACTTTGTGATGGTATGTTTTCTTGTATTTTTCCTAAAATGAAACAAGACTTTTTGAATTATCTCACAAAATTACTGAAATGAAGTTCTCAGATCTGAAGAACTATCTCTTACAATAACAATTACCTTGAATGAAATTGGACTGGATTCCTTGAGTTACAGACATCCTATATAAACAAATCAATAATCTGTCACTCTTGAAAAGCAATAGGAATGCAGACCAATCCCAGTTTTTACTAAAATAACAAAAATATATTACAAATGATGTAAAATGGGCGAAGATGTACTAACCCACATTAAAATGTATGACCATACACAACTATGAAAATTATTTAGCATCCAATTAATAGGATATTTTATGGTGATATATAAATTGAAATGGGGACCTGCATTCCTAGAAATGTACTTACTAAAGGTGTTTACTTGGTCACAAATGAAAATACATTGAAATGTGGGTTGGGTCACTCTGTAGACTGCCCCATTTATTGATTAAAACACATATTGTATACCAGTCTTGTGACACGTTTTTTTGTCCTGGTCTTTTTGGTTTACAAGTAAATTCGAGCTCTGTATATCTTCTAACTGAGGTTTGAAACTTCTATGATGGGGACCAGGTGCTGAAAGGTAAAATTCTAGATTAAGTATCGAATTTTATTTTATAATAGGCTGACAAAAATGTCCAGTTCAAAATGTTTAAAAACTTTTTGAATATTTGATTGCGAGTTCTATTTAAAAAAAACTTTATTACAAAAAGTACTTACGACCTTTGATCGGAAGTGTAACAAATGTTTCTTTACTTAGGCTTTCGCAGTCATCGTCATCATCTTCGTCTGACATCTGTTTCTTTATTGGTTCTATAATAAACAAAAAATTATCATAAGTAGGGCATGCAGGTCCCCCAAAAGTGCCTAGGTAGGTACTGTCCAATCGAAATATTTATCAGTGTGCCACAGCCAAATTGTATTTTGTCCAGAAAGTAGCTACCACTCAGTCGCTAACAATATTTACCACTTGGCAATATTCTCTTGGCTGCTGGTGAACTTGATCTAGTAGGAGAGGATACTCTGGCAGGCGACGGTGCCCTGGTGGGTGACCGGGGCGGCGTGCTGCAGGGCCTGCTGGTAATTTCTAAAAAAATAAACATCAAAATATTCACTACTTGGCAGTACTTGGTAATTTTCTCTTAGGTGCTTGTGTCCTCGCTCTAATAGAAGAGGACACTCTTGTAGGAAATCGCAGGGAACGTACTACAAGTGCGCGTGTTGATTAAACAAAAAGAAAATATTTACCATTTTGCATTCTCTTGGGTCCTGGTGAATTTGCCCTAGTAGAAGAGGGTACTTCAGCAGGAGATGATGCTCTGGAAGGAGACCGCGAGGGCGTGCCGCAGATCCTTTGAATTTCTAAAAAAAGGTACTCTTAAATAATCACTACTTAGCAATATTCTCTTAGGTGCTGGAGAACTCGCTCTAGTAGATGAAGGTCGTACTCTAACCGTGGGAGTGTAGGGCTGTTAATTAAAAAAAAACTTATATCTAGTGTTAATTAAAAAATAAATGTCTACCTACCACTAAGCAACGCTCTCTTGGGTGGTGGTGAACTCACTCTTGTAGGAGAAGATGCTCCATCAGGAGACGATACTCCGGTAGGAGAAAGTGGGGGTGTACTGCAAGTTTTACTGTTAAATTCTGAAAAATAAACATTCGCGACTTGGCAACATGGTCTGAGGTGCTGGTAGGCGTTCTAGTAGGAGACTGGCGGGGGCCCGGGGTTCACTGAAAGTTTTGGGGTGATAAAAAACAACAATATTTACCACTTGGCAACATTCTCTTGGGTGCGGGGGAACTCCCTCTTGTAGGAGTGGGTACTTTAGCAGGAGACGTCGATCTAGTAGGAGACCGCGGGGGCGTGTCGCGGACCCTGCTGTTGATTTCTAAAAAAACGGTTTGTTTGATCAATCTGTTAGTGTACCAGCTGTACACTAGCAGAAAAGGGGCAGTTTCGTGCAAAGCATTAAATTATCAGACTTCGATATTCGAAAATCTTACGGCATTGCATTCGGGAATTAAGCTTGATTGACCCTATAACTGGCGAAATACCAGATTGTCACCACTGAATGTAATTACTTACTTATAGTAAGCAAGGGCGGATCCAGGGGGTGGAGGGCATGAGGGTCGTGTCATGACCCCTGAGCCGAGTGTGTGTGATCTCTCATTTTTACTCACTCAGTGCACACACTTGCACTATATTATCGCCTGCGTCGAAGGCTAGTCTGGTTAGTCAGACTGGAGACTTTATTCACTAATGAAGTCTACGTTAGCTAAATGCTTACCCGGTTTCCATTTTTTCGTGTTGCGTTTATCTTGGGTTTTCACACCGCGGTGGTCGTAATGTTGTTTCGTTTGCACGCTTAATATTTCTGAAAGCGTAAATGATTTATTTTTGTGGCAGCCCAAGAAAATGTCCATACTTATCTAGGTACTTAGCATTTTATTCCACAATTGTTACAATTTGTAAAACCGTCGGTGTCGGCTTGGTAATTTAAAGTGGTTATGTGGTTACAATTATATTTTTTAATTCTCCCTTAAAACTTCAATAAATTGAAGCTGTAAGTAATAAGAAGAGTTGCTGATCTAGGTTACGTAGTGAATTTGAAATAAAGTTTATGTGTAAAAGCGCATACCTTGAGGTTTGCTCATAGTTTTGTATTGCCGAGGTGGACTTTTAGTTCGAGGTAGAGAGGAAGCTGAAGGCCGTGATAATGGGATAGTACGTACTGAAAGAAAAAACACAAATTATTTTCTTTCGTTTCAGGTTTAAACTTGCAAATTAAAATTTTAACAGTTATTAAGTCAGGTACCTATAGCATTTAAGCCTTTGACTGCCAATAGAAAACTGATGAAGGCAAATCCTCCCCTTACGTCGGTCACCGGTGACCCCCACGGCGTTTAATGTGTTAAGTCCATAGTCTACAAAAACAACCCAAAAGTCTAGCCTAGACTCTTACTACTTCTAACTAGTTTGTACAGAGCATTGTAGGTAGTTGCTACCCGGCATACGACCACATCAAAAATCAACAAAAAATTTAAATAAACAAAAGTATCCACTCACATCTGGATGCTATATTACTCCTCAAAACGGGTGGTTTAGATTCCGGAAAGACATTGGGATTAGTATTCGATGCCCGTAACTTGTTCCCGGTTAAAGAGGACTTCGTGGCTGTCCAAAACAAAACAGCAAATGCTAATATAGTGACAATCACAATCCCATTGCTAGCACAGATTGGATACACGTAGGCAGTGATGCGAGCCACGCGCCAAAATAGTATGTGCCCGAGCACGCTCGTGACCATATCGACTTTATGATACTTGACTACTGAAATAGAACCGAAAATATGCAGCCAGTTAAACTTGTTCAAATATTCTCGAACAGTTGCCCAACTATAGAAAATACCAAGTTCGCTAAATATGTCGGCAATGCATTTGTAACTCCTCCGGTACTGCGGATGTCCATGGGCGGCGCTGATCGCTTACAAAAATAATTCGCCTGCTCGTTTACCCCACAAAATGTATTGCAATGTTTATACGATAATTGAGAGATTAATATGAGAACATTCGTTTTAAGAAGTTAGCTGAATGAAATCTGTTACTCACGTGTTTTAGGTAGCATTAAATCAGGTTTCTTTGCAGTATTTCGAGGAGCACCCTCTCTGTTTTCCGCTTGAAAAAATATTCCATTAATCAACAGAAATAGGCGTAGGTAGGCCTCCCACCTAACTTATGTAAAACTTTACTAGACTGTAGATTAATACGGATTAGTGCAAATAATGATTAAAGCACTTCCAGTCAAGTCCTAATTTTATGTAGATTGTAGGTACCTATAGGTAAAGTAATCGTTATATTTACCCTCCTCGCGAATCAAAGAAGCAATTTTTCACGACAATTACAAGGACATAAAAGTAAGTAGGTAGCCTAATATAGGTAGATATAGATTGCTATGTATAAACATTGTAATGTACCTTTCCACGTCCGTGTGGGAGTTTTGGCCACAGGAACTGCCGTTGTAATTTTCTCAACACTTGGATCTATCAAAAAAAGTTGGAACAGTTATTCGAAGAGCGGTAAAGTTCGTTCATCAACAGCCTATAAATGCCCACTGCTGAGCAAAGCCTCTTCTCCCACGGAGAAGGTTAGAGCATTAATCACCACGCTTGCTCAATGCGGGTTGGTGATTTCAAACTTATAATTAGAAATTATGGTTTCGAACCCGCACCCTCATGCATGAGAAGTGGGCGTCTTAAACCTCCGGGCCACCACGACACTACATAATACAAAGTTCGTTATATTTGGAATAATGAGATATCAAACAATGTTTTCTCAAATATGGGGCATAGCTAGCGCCATATCTGCCGTATCAAATATATGGGCCATTATTTCGGGGGAAAAAGGAAAGAAAAGAAACATTTTCTTCTCTAATAAGAAATAGAATAGGCATTGCGACTTACGTAAGTTCGCATACCGCTGTTCCTCCCGTCTGATGGTTAGCTTTTTATTGATCGGCGTCACCAACGGCTTGCCATAGCCGCAGTCTGTCTGCTTAGCATGACCTACAATGCCTAAGAATTAACAATATTTTTAACCGACTTAGGACTTTGACTGCCAATAAAAAGTTTGTTGAAGGTAAATCCTCCGCTAACGCCGGTCACCGGTGACCCCAATGGCGTTTAACGTGTTAAAGAAGAAAGGGTTCTCGCTTCATCTGATTTATTTCTATCAGTCCTTATGAATGGATGACTATCGTAACTAACGAGCCAGTGTTTTGGGTCAATTCCTAAATGGAGTTAGGGAGAATATTTTTTGGATATGGAAGGAATAGTAATATCGTATATACAATAATCGCCAATCACGCTTGAAGAATGCGTCTATCTGGCAATATAAGCTGGTTTCTAATAACACTATATTGGGAAAATAGACTTTAAGTGTGGGAGAGCAATGTTTCAGCACGAATGGGCTGGCTCGACCGGAGTGATACCACGGCCTCACAGAAAACCGACGTGAAGCAACGCTTGCGTTGTGTTTCGTCGTGTGAGTGAGGTTACCGGAGGCCCAATTACCCCCTCCCTAGTCCCCGTCTCCTGAATCCTCCACAATCCTCAAATTCCCAATTCCCAAAAGGCCGGTAACGCATTTTTAACGTCTTGGTGTTTCGAGTGTCCATGGGCGGCGCCGATTGCTTACCATCAGGTGATCCGTCGGCTCGTTTACCGGTTTATACTATAAAAAAAAAAGAAATATTTAAGAGCGAACAAGATTTTACTCGACTGAAGCGCCATCTAGTACAACAAAAATTGAAAAGCAAGTAGCAAGAAAAGCAAGCACCTATAAATATTGTTGTTAATACTTACTATGGATTCTGCGGGTATTTCTAATTTTGTCCATAACCTCCAACACTTCTTCGGCAGAGGGTAAATTCGATTGGCCCACAGAGCTTATAGTTTTCGAACGCGCTATAAGTAAAATAGATCATAGTCAAACTGTCGAGTAGAAATCCCAGGATTAAAACTATTTACTGTTATAACAATAGGGTAGATGCCTAATTTTTATTTTAATGTCCGTCTGATAGCTTATTTTAAATCATTAGACACGTATTTTTTATTTTCTTACAGAAATGAATACTTTCGACGATATATTGATTCGAAATGACGCGTGACGTCACTTCTATGTACATACATTTTATATGAAATGACGTTTTAGCCCCCACTCTTAAACTTTGATTCGTTTTATCTAAGTATTGTTTTATTATTCGACAATATAAAAAAATACGTGTCTAATATTTTTTAATTACCTAACTCACGGACTAATTAGATTTTTAATTTTCATACCCTGTCATCATCCCAATTATGCTGGCTGTTAAATATAATTCCTTGTTAATGCGGACTATCCCATATAAATTTGCCGGTAGGGGCGTTTAATGAGCACTAAAGTCTGCTCAATAGTGTTTACTTGTATCGATTAATTAAACCATTAGACATATTCTACTACCATTGTACAAATAACACCTCGTGTTACATTTACATAAGCACTATCTAGGTAGGACAATAATTATGACGTGGAAAGGTATAAAGGTATTTTGAAAGCTGATAACATTGATCATGTACATATGTACTCACAGTTCACCACATTTGTTGACAAAGGCACGTTGGAATCTTTGACTGGAATATGGACATCATTGCTGAGGTTGTCATTTTGTGAGTGCGCTGAGAAAAACAATTTCCATTAGTATTAGCAGTTAGGTAAGTAATTATTTAGGTAACAGGTGGCGCTAGTGTGCTGTAACGTTAAGGTCCAATGGATTTATAGAGCAACCTTTGTCAATTTGTATAGGCTTCCTAGGCAGTGACTGAGCTGATGTATCGTCGGATGGTAAGCGACAAAGGCCGCTTGTAGGCTAAGGCAAAGCTACAACAACAGAGGAATTACAGAAGCGTATATGTAGGTGCTTTTTTAAACACATAGAACTTCACACCTAGCGCCACCAAATTTAGTATATAGTAGAAAAGTGAAATTATTAACTTTAACTACGGATATAGATATTAAGTAAGATATAAAAATAGATATTTACGTGTTAATTCCTTCTCAGCGACATTTTTTCCTTTTGTACGTTCTAAACTGGGTTGACCTATGAATAAATTGAAATAAGTAAATCTTTTATTCATTTATAAGTTCATTCTCTAATGTGCTAGACTGGACGGAGGCCCGGAGGGGGGATTGCATTTTTACACTGTCTCGTTGCCCAAGTGGACGCAAGTGCGACTGCCGGCCAAGGGGTCTCGGGTTCGACTCCCGGGTCGGGCAAAGTACAACTGGTATTTAAAAAGATTTATAACATAAATAGTGAAAAGTGGGTGTTACATTGTACAGTGGCATAATGTGCACCTCTGCCTACCCCCTCGGGGATAAAAGGCGTGATGTTATGTTATGTTGCATTTTCTAACAGACTGCATTTTCAAATTAGCAACTTGTTATGGGGCTCACCCCAAACACGTGTTTTCAAACACCTCAGTGTTAGAAAAAAATTGAATAAGTGAAAAGTGTACTATTTAAGTACATACGAGATGAGTGTCTTGGTTCGTCCTGCTTGGCCTTGGTGACGCTCACTTCGTGAGAGCCTGAAGTCGAAGCGGAATTACTTCGGCTGCGTGGCTTCCTCACAGTGCCCCACACTGTCATACCTTTGATTTCTTGCCGAAGCCCTGCGATTAGTTATATAGATAATTCAAAGTAATATCAGCTACACGACGACGTCCACACCTGAACATAGGCTACACTCAATGACTTTCAGATCAGTTGGTTTAACCGACCTATCAACCAGGAATTACTAATCATAGTTTCTTCACACACGAACCCTGAACAACAATTTGTGGATCACAAGACCAAGTACAATGTTCTAATTTTAATTTCCATACAATTCAATTTCTAGTAACCGGATACTGCAGTAATTAGTCTAGTCGGGCAACTAATCCCGCCACAGTGGTGCGACTCACGTGAAGCATTGCTCTCCCTGTATCGTAAGCGCGGCGGCGTCGGCGCAGACACAGTGGCGCCAGTCGACGCCACGCGCCGGCTGCGGCTCAGCGACTGGAGCCGGGACGAGGACGCTACAACAACATACATTGTGGCATATCTTTCTATGACACCATCAGAGACATCATGTTAGGATTCTGCATTATTAATCACAGGCCATATAAATCCTTACTAATATTAAAAATCGGAAAGCGAGTTTGTTTGTTTGTGTGTTTGTTCCGCTTTCACGCCGTAACTACTAAACTGATTGCTTTGATTTTTTGCAGACATAAAGTTAGAAGTCCGGATTAAATAATAGGGTACTTTTTATCCCGAAAAAATTTGATATACCCGAGGGAAAACAAAAGTATTGGTATAGATGGCGCATGGCGCTGTGTGTATTGGTATATGTCACATAGGCTACTTTTTATCCTTTTGTGACGCGAGCGAAACCGCGGGTAAAAGCTAGTAGATGATAAATCATCTTCAAACTGTAGACGTCTAATACTTCCCCGCGTATTTAAATCCCCATCGTAATAAATAAACATTACACGATGCTACTGCATGTTCCTCGATGATTGAATGATATACTACGGACAAGACATCAAAAACATTTACTTCAACCTCCTTTTATTGAAGTCGGTTAAAAAAGCAAGCGCTGGCTGTTATTATTCTGAGTACAATTTCTTGTCATATTGTCTTATAATCAATAGCAATGTAACAAATAATAGAGTTTCCTAAATTTTATTTGAATGTCCGTCTGTTACATTAATTTAAAACTTTAGACACGCATTTTTACTTTCCTCACAAAATTTAATACTTTCGACGATATATCAATTTGAAATATCGTGTGACGCCATAGCGTGTCACATTTTGTAGCACATTATGACGTAACAACCTCCCACTCATAAACTTAGCGCCATTTTATCTAAGTATTGCAACTTTATTATTTATCAACATACCAATATGTGTGTATCTATTGTACAAAAGCTTCTTAAAGCTTAACATACCTACATCATTTTGCTCGACTTTTAAAAAACGATTTATTAACTTATTACTATTAACACCAAAACCGACTCTAATTCTAAAACCATTAAGTTCAAAATTTACTGTACCATAACAATCACCTTATATATACAATACTACAGAATTAGGAAATGGGATCAAAGGATGACAATAATGAAACGAACATGAGATGAAATTATTTATTAAATACATAACAACACAGCTAAACATACGACTAATAGTCCAAGAGCCAGTGAACCCTGGGAGTAACGGTCTCCCTGTAAGGTTAGAAATTTGTATACTTACGATTTATGGTATTCTAAGAGCAATAGCCATGACCTGGCAGGAGTCAGCCCTGCACGTCATCAGCCCCTTTATTTTTTGAACTGTTAAGTAAATTGGGTTTTAAAACTTGTTTCTGTAAATTTGAAAATTTAATAGGATAAAGTTTATTTATTGTACATCTTAAAAAAAAATTGACAGGTGATTACAATAAGCAGAAGTATATGACAGATCAATTAGAAAACGCACTGTTGATGAGGTAATTAATAAACTTTATCCTGTATACTTGAAATTTTTATATGTCTTCAAATAAACGTCTCAGAGTAAATATGTACAATGCCAGGCGGTTTTGAACAGCATAAGACCTTGACAGGCGAGGGGACAGCTGCTAAGAGCGTGCGAGAAGTGTCATGAAGATGGTACAATACATAAAACTCAGCAATGGTTGAAATTTTAAAGGCAAATGTCAACTGTGAAGACGTACCAAGACGTTTTGATGTTGTCATTTTTGATTTTTGATGGATTCTTCTTACTGCATACATTAAAAAATATCCCCAAAACATTTAGTGGTATTTCCACAAATATTATGTCGCAACTAACAGCTACACATGCCTCATGAGTAGATATCATTTTCGACTAATACTTTTCGCCGTCAATTAAAGATAACGAGCCAAACGACAAGAAGTACGAAACAAAAATTATTTCATTACCGGACCAGAACAAATTCGACCAGTTAATTTTATGAAAGAACTTCGTAACATACAATTTAAAGAAGCTTTCGTAGATTTTTTAATTACACATTGGAGCACAAATGAAATGATAGAGTTTATCGGGAATACCATAGTGAACTTAAATTACAAACAATGCCATACTTATAGTGGCCATAATAACTCTGTGATTGTCGATATAAATGATGATTTATCGTGCCAAAACCATGAAGAGGCCTTTAAAATTTCAACCATTGCGGATTTCTGAGTTTTATGTATTGTACCATCTTCATGACACTTCTCGCACGCTCTTAGCAGCTGTCCCCTCGCCTGTCAAGGTCTTATGCTGTTCAAAACCGCCTGGCATTGTACATATTTACTCTGAGACGTTTATTTGAAGACATATAAAAATTTCAAGTATACAGGATAAAGTTTATTAATTACCTCATCAACAGTGCGTTTGTTATTGATCTGTCATATACTTCTGCATTGTTAATCACCTGTCAATTTTTTTTTAAGATGTACAATAAATAAACTTTATCCTATTAAATTTTCAAATTTACAGAAACAAGTTTTAAAACCCAATTTACTTAACAGTTCAAAAAATAAAGGGGCTGATGACGTGCAGGGCTGACGCCTGCCAGGTCATGGCTATTGCTCTTAGAATACCATAAATCGTAAGTATACAAATTTCTAATCTTACAGGGAGACCGTTACTCCCAGGGTTCACTGGCTCTCCAGCTATAATGTACTTTATACATAACTAATGCATTCTATGCGAACTCATACAGTCTATCGCTTGTCAAACTTAATAACAAAGTGTAGGCACAGGATTTAATATTATAATTATTACACATAACATAACATCACGCTTTTATCCCCGAAGGGGTAGGCAGAGGTGCACATTACGGCACTTAATGCCACTGTACAATGTAACACTCACTTTTTATTATTTATGTTATGACTCTCATGCAATAGGGGGTGAGCGTATTGCCATATACCGGGCACAATTCCAGACTCCGTCCTACTACTCAGAATTAAAAACCCAGTATGACCTTGCGACCACTCGGCCAACGAGGCAGTCATCATAATTATTACTTAAATGACTATCGCCTGAATACTGGAAGACTACTGAATTTAAAGTTGTACTTAAATATCGTGCCATCTTTGACATTGTAACAAAGATTTTGTAGTGACAGACTTACTTAATCCGTCGTGTGTCTAAACGTGGATCCACGCGTGACACAATGTATTGTATAATGTGTCTCATATACAGGCATTCAAGCGGTTAAGCGCTACTTAGAATTGAATGGCATTTGAGTATTTTAGCGTATCAAGTCCAAAGTTCAAGCAGAGTTATGTTATAGTCAGTGAGCGAGGAATTATGGTTGCCGGAATAACAAAATTAAATGTATTTTTATTTGCAATAATAAAACATCTAGATTCTTTAGAATCTAACGGTCCTGCCGATTTTGTTGTGGTGTTATTAAATGATATCAGACTTCATTTTAAATATACATAGATTGTGAGAACCGCGTGTGAAATAACACTAGTAAAACTTCAGTCAAGAACCAAAAAAACTGAAATCATTGTTTCATTATGGTAAATTAATAAAATATCAACCTTATTCCAAAGGTTGTAAATCACAAAATGCAATATTAATTATACATACGTAGTTATTGCAAGCGTGTCCAGTACTTATTCTGTACGAAGGAACATATTATCCAGAAATGAATAATTCAAGCTTTTTTTAGGATCGAATGACTGCTCCCGCCTGGAGGCGGGAGGGAGTGTCAGAAATAATTCAATCTTAGATTAACGACAATCTCCAACTATACTTGAGGTAACAATTGGATACCATAAGTGAAAAATGATACTATAATAGTAACAAAAAAAAACTATCATTAACATTATCTGTGGCTCTGGACACGCTCTAGGCACATGAATGAGCAAAGCAAAATATCTACATTCATCCTAGCTAGTATTCGTCTCTGTCTGTGCATTAGAATCTTGTTTACAATCACTATCTAGTTTGCTATTATTATCAGAATTAGACGCAGAATCAGTACTGAGTTCTCTCGTCTGTATATGAGAAATTTTGGTATCGGTATCTGTGGATTCAGAGCTTAATTGTATAGAAGAGTTTAAGCCGGGGAGTTTTGTTTGTGAGTCCCCGTTGGCACGGTTACAGGACCGTTTGTTGAGGTCGTCGTCGTCGCGAGGGCTGCGAGCCCGCTTGGGAGTGTGTGTACCGGGCAGGGGCGAGGCGCGGCGGTCCCGCAGTCGCTGGCGGTGCGCCGCCTTCAGCTCCATCTCCACGCAGTGCTCCGCGAACATCAACTGCAGCGGCGCGTACATGTGCGGCAACAGGTCCAGGTCGCTCATCGTGATCTGATACCATAATGTTGAATTAAAATAACAATTACATACTCGTAAGGAAAACTACATAATAGAAACATGAGATAAATATTCTTAAAACGGGAGATTTAAATATTTTTTAATCACTACATGGTACAAAATATATTTTTAATAGATAGAATGATTCTTCAGGAAGGTTAATATGTATAATACAGTATTATAGTAGAGAAACACTAATAAATTTAGAGGCTTCTAATTGCACCCATGCGAAGCCAGGGCGGGTCGCTGGTAATTAATAAAATTCTTATTCATTCTAGTCTCTACTGCCATAGTAATATATTTTCCCTACCAGCAAAGATAAAACGTAACATAACATCACGCCTATATTACCGAAGGAGTAGGTGAACATTACGGCACTTAATGCCACTGTACAATGTACCACCTACTTTTCACTATTGGATCACTATGGGACGACGTGCTCCATCGTAGACCACATCATCGGTTACCAACAAGCGAGATACCCCTATCAAACATCCATCAAATATAAAAAAAACATGTTACGAGTCCCATGTAATAGGGAGTGAGCCTATTGCCATATACCGGGCACAATGCTACTAATGAGATTTTTTTTAAAAACCCAATAATACTTTGATAAAACTTTAACAGATCTTATGTAATCACGCATTATAAAAAATGGCATGGAACAGATATAATATTGTCATTTAGCGTTCCCATTGTCTCTCGTACACCAACGAAAAACATGACAATATTAGACATAATATAATATGTATGTACAGACCTGCATATTATCAAACGCGATGCCGACGCTGTTGTTATCGTTGAGTATGTGCGCGTTGAGCCGCGGCAGGCGCGCGTACCGCTGGCTGAAGTGAGTGAGGACCGTGTAGCGCGCCTTCATCTGTCGCCCGATGTCTATGGCCTGGGTTGTCGTCGAGTGCATCTTAATACGAGCTTCATCTGCTAATTCATCTTCCATTGTCGCTTCGTGAATTAGTAAGGTTGAGTTTTCTCCTGCAATTTGAAAGTTTTTAGATTGAAGACTGTGCTAAGTAAGGGTTTTCAAGAATGGTTTTGACTATTGCATATGAACCTAATGTAATGGGGGATACTGTATTGTTTCTCCCCAGGTGGCGCTACTGTGAAACTCTCGTTCTTCGTCCAATAGGGAATTAGCCAATGTCACATCATTGGACGTTAAATTCGATATCTACAGTGATTGGATAAACAGAGTTTTTTAGATTAGCGCCATCTAGTGAATAAAAAACGGTAGTCCCTATTTGGTTTTTTTGTCACGTCAAGAGTTCATGTATGAGTATTTCCATTACCATCGGCTGAAAGACCACTGTTAAAGCAACATCTTTACAGAAGTTCTTATTACAAGAACTATGCCAATTTCATTAAGATTGAATAATAACTAACCACTTAGAAAATTCGAAATTAAAACTTTAAACATATTGACACAATTTACAATTCCTTAACCTGTTGAAAATCATCCCCTAAAATTGTACATACAAAAGTAGTCTAAACATTGGAAATAAGGTCTATATAGTAGTTAGTGTAGAGCGGTCACCGGTAACCGCTTGGGGATGTATATCCCCATTCCCCAGGTTGTAAAAGGTTTAACCCATACTGGTTCATTCAAAATTACACTACAACACCACTGAAAATACCTACAAAACACAAAGAACACTTACCGATCCTCACTAGCTCGTCACAGGGCAGCGTGTCCCCCGAGTAGGTGACCTTGTACCCGTCGTCCAGCGCCACGGCCACGCCGAATGCGTTGGGACAGTGCGCCACGTGGCACGTCCTTATATGTTGCACGCCCATCGCTGCTAGTACTGCTGATGTCATTTCCGAGTTGTGAGCGTGGTCGTAGAGCTGAAGAAAAATATAATTGTCATTATTAACGTGTTTAAATGTGGGAGTGCCATACTTCGCCACGAATGGGTCGGCCCGACCGGATCGATACCACGGCCGAATAGAAGACCGACGTGAAAAAACGCTCGCGTTGTTTCGTCGAGGTTACCGGAGGCCCAATTACCCTTTCACAATCCCTGAATCCCCAACAACCCTCAAATTCTTAATCCCAAAACGTCAGTAACGCACTTGTTATGCCTCTAGTGTTCCAGGTGTCGTTTATCGGCTTATCCTATAAAAAAAGGACTACTGGCCTAGTTTATAGGCTATAAAACATTACGCTACGTTCAGTAGCCGCCGAGCAGAACGGGTGAAGCCGCGCGGAAGGAGCTAGTATGGAATATTACTTACAAGACTCTGGTTAGGTATAAGAGTGAACTCGCTCTTGATCTTCTCGAACTGGTGGTCGTACCAGGTGAGCCACGTGATGATCTGTCCGGGAGCCAGCAGGTACAGCGGCGCGGGCGGCGCCGGGTGCTCGCTCGCTGCGCCCGCCTCGTGGAGCGCTTCACGACGAGCTTGGATCACGCCGATTAGACCTGTAATTAGTTGATTAATTGTAACATTGACTTTTCACTAGCTATTGCCGGATGAGATTGTGACCAAGAATTAGTGGCTTAGATTTGAATAGAAAGGCAGTTGTATTCAAGAAAGAGGTACAGTACACAACTATGTCTTTTTTAAATGACGGAGTACTGGATATTTTGTATTAAAAAGAATCTTACCAATATGGTGGTCAGCATGTAAATGTGAGATGTAGATAGCTTTCAGCGTCCTGAGGAAACTGTTGACTTTCTTCGGCCCATAGAAACGCACCAGCTGACCAAAGGTACCTTCTCCACAGTCTAAGAGAATCGATCTATTCTCACTGCAAACGAAAATAACACAGAATTTAATACCAGGTTTACACTAGACCACACAGGTAATTTGCAAGAAACCGGCTCTCGGACTATAGTGTTCACATTGCACGTGATCCCACTAAAAAGCCGAACAATCATCAAAGACTTGTTCCGTGTGGGAATTGAACCCGTATATTGTATAGACGTCAGTTTTTCAACCACTGCACCAATCGTCCGATTAAATAACCAATTAATTACAAAACAACTTACTCAATATGGAGCACAATAGCGCTAGTATTTCTAGTCTTGCTGGGTATGCAGGAGCCTGTGCCCAAGAATACCACCTTGGGGTACTCCTTAGAGTCACACCGTGTGTATCTCATACCGTCCACGAGGTGACGGAACTGCTCCAAGCTGCCGACGAACCCATCCACGTCCATCGTCTCCTGAATGTAGCTTTGTATGTGAAGCTTCGGTTCTGCCGTCCTAAGGTCAAAAATTAAGAGAAACTGTGTGATTGAACGTACCGAAAGCTTATTCGAAGTCAAAGAAACGCTTTTAGACTTTTGTTCGTTGTTAGTTGTCCAAATCAAAATGAGATATCGGATCCTGGCTTAATATTAAAGAGCTGGCAAGAAGCCTAGTATAAAAATAAAAAAGAATTTGACTCAATTAACCCTTTGAGTACCGTCATTATAGACACAATTAAGGTTGTGGTCACTAGTGTCCTCGTGGTGTTGGACAGTTTAAAAAACAATGTATCTTCATAAATGTTTTGAAAATTACAAGATAACACTTGATGTGGGAACTCTATACATCATATACTTTGCAACATCAAAAACTACCTTTAAGTATAATAAGCTCAACAACTCACCTATCCAACTGCTTTTTAGGCCTCAAATGGTACATAGTGAGCGTGCGTCCAGCCAATAATTCCAACTTGGGGATAGAATCACAGTCTTCGACCGAGGGCTGGTGTCCATCTCCCTTAGCTGAGCCCTCCAAGTTAATAATATTCTGGAACTGCGCGAGGGCTATCTACAAATGATTGTATTACATCGCACCTTCACCACATGCAAGCTAAGCTACGTCATATTATACATATAGTATAGGGCATAAAAACAGATGCAGTTTACAAACATTTGATCTAGTATCTTTGTTAGGGCGGATTTTTCCAACGCCAGATAAATTTTAACTGAGGAATGACTTTGAATATTTGACTATTCTTTCATACTAAAATGTCAATTTTATTCTACAGTAAAGAATTAACAGATGTTTGATAAATCGGCCCTTATTGTTTTTTTTAACCCCTTTGTTCAACGAACACTATTAATAAATACTACTAATATAAAAGCAAACACCATGAATATAACAATATAATTATACCATAGGGGTAATAATCGGTTAGTTTATGTTACATTAATATATAAATATTTGTTAGTTAACTTACACAACATAGAATAGACAAACCATCACCAACAATCAGCTCCCATTGCAAAAATCTAATATTGGTTAGTAACAGAAATTGAAGTTGGTATTATAATTTTTATTGTTAGTTATCAAACACTTAGACATAACCACACAACGCACCAAACCCTATAAAAACAACACATACCTTATTTTTAAGTTCCTCCAGCCCCTTCAGTCTTATAGGACTATTGGTCTTGGGTACGGGCGGGTGGGCGTTCCAGACGGCGGGCACGCTGACGTCCTTGAGCAGCGGGAATATGTCGGGGTCCAGCAGGTGCAGCTTGTGCTGCGTGCGGTGCACGGCCTCCGAGCCCAGGCAGCAGTTCTGCGCGTTCAGCACCAGGTGCCGGGTGCACGGACCAAACATCGCCATGAAAGATCGGTACCTGCGAGGTAAAAGCTGGATTGTTAAAAGTCCCTTTTCAAACAAAAAAACTGAGCCTGTTTTCGTCAACTATTGACACCTGTTTGTTAATACTTTTTGTTGAAAGAATCCATAGAGACTTCATACATGTTGATTCTTTAGTTATGTAATAGTTTCGTAGTAAAAACATCTGTTATATATATCTTGTTTAACTTGTATCGTTATTGAGTAGGTAAATATAGTGTAAAAAGGACATAAACAATCAGTCTTACTTTCACAATTGATATTCAAGTTGTATTCAAGTAAATATATTTTAAACCAATATCTCTACAATTACTATTATAAAGAATACACTTACGTGGGATGATGGAACACGTGTGGCGGAGTAAAGTGCACGATGAGCGCCGGGATGTTCTCCGGCGGGTTCCTGTCATTGTCGAAGTGTGCTGAGAACTCCGTCTCCTTGAGATATGATAGATCAGGTATATCCAACACTGGAAGTGAAAATTACTGCTGGTATTATTTTGTTTTACTAGGAATTTCAAAAAACTTAAGTGAAGTTGCCCATACTAGGAATTCAACCCGAGGCCCCCGAGGAACTCGGTAGTCGACAACGCGATAAGCGAGACAATCCTAAAATCTTACGTTCATATTTTATTTTTTGTGAGACTGACGTTTGATTTATCTAGCCTGGTGGTAAGCGATGATGTGGCCTACGATGGAGCACGTCGACCCATAAGCAACCTATTCACTCGGGCCTTGAAGACACCCAGGTTATATAGACTCTAGCAAATAATTCCACTCGTTAGCAGTACGCACAAGGAAGCTTGATGCGAAGCGCTTATTATATTATTTGCTTTTTCTCTATTGGATTTGACTTTCAATCCGTTAATAAAGTATAAATAAAGGACGAATTTGTGCTATAATTATATTAAAATACTAGCGGTTTCACACGCTCTGCTCAGCTCCTATTGGTCGTAGCGTAATGTTTTATAGCCTATAGCCATCCTCGATAAATGCGCTATCCAAGATAAAAAGAATTATTCAAATCAGACTTGTAGTTACGGAGATTAGTGCGTTAAAAAAAAACAACTCTTCCGCTTTATATAATAGTATAACATTAATATGTTGAATGTTCTTACAACTTCTTACCAATAAACACAGGGCCAGGATCATCAGGTGTCTTCACGTCTTTGGACATAACAAGTGAGCCGTCTGGCAACACTACATCTTGTCCACTCTTCAGCTGGCCCAACATTGGACCGGGCTTCACACCCAGCTCTACACACTTCGCCAGGTCCAGGGTACCAAGCCGTTTCTATAAAGAAGTCATAGTGGTGATTAGTTAAACAAATAAAAGGAAAGGTAACAACACTTCACATTAAGATTATAGACAAAATTGGTATTTTTTTTAAGGGTTATATCTTCGTATTACTGCTGGGTGAGGCGGGAGGGAGTGTTAGACTCTTACTGACTAAAAACCACCCCGTTCTTTCTGCTGCACGTCGAGCCGGAGCCCCGGTAACCCGTTAGGTTCTCCGCGACAGACAAAATTGGTATACCGGGGGGCATTTGGGAGCCAATCTAAATTATTACATTGATATTTATATCTAGGTATATTAGAGTATAATTAATGATGAATGAATGTGTAATTTTATGAATTGAATTGTTTATCTTACCTTTAGAGTGCAGATATAGGCCACAGAACAATTAGTTTTCTTCTGCAACTCATGTAGAACTTTATCAGTCTTTTTCTTCTGGGCATTTTCTGTAAGAAAAATATTTTGTGTTACTAAATTGAAGCATAGAGTTAGACAGAGATAACAAATGTACACATTTAAAGAAATAAGAAACTAAAACAATTTATATGAATAAAAGTGATTCTGTTCGTTAGTCTCACTAAAACTCGAGAATGGCTGAACCGAATTGGCTTATTTTTGTCTTGAAATACTCCTTTAAGTCCAGGGATGGTTTAAAAGGTGAGATTTCTTTTTACGCGGTACCAAGATTGCCGGTTCAGCTAGTAAAACATATATTTTATGGTTGCCACTTTTGAAAGTATTTAAAGTTGTATAAAACTTTTGTATATCTATTATTACTAGCGACCCGCCCCGCTTTGCACGGGTGCAATATGCATTTATTATACATAATTATAAACCTTCCTTAAGAATCACTCTATCTATTAAAAAAAAACCGTATCAAAATCCGTTGCGTAGTTTTAAAGAACTAAGCATACATAGGGACAGACAGACGGCGGATAGCGAGTTTGTTTTATACTATGTAGAAATACCTATATAATATTGGTACCCATACCTAACAAGGTTTGTTTAAAACAAAAATTCATAAATTTACCTTTTTCATTATGTAAAGTTGATTTTGGTTTTGGCTTTTCCTTAGGATGTCTGTTTCTTTGAGGGTTAGACGAGTTAGCTTCCATGTTTCGTATTTCAGACTTATAGTAATCAGTGTCATCGTGAATAAACTCATCATACTCCCTCTCCGAGGTTGAATCTAGTCTCGGCTTTTTGGCAGCTGGCTTTTCTTTACCTTGAAGTATGTTGTCATTAGGGCCTCTGAAAATAAAAAAGTCATGTTTTATGTTTCAGAGATACCTTTAAAGTATATCAATATCAATAACTAAGCCACATTTAAAATAATATGCCATACAAATAAGAAAATTGCTTGTAACAACACTATTTTTGTCAGATTTCACCTGTCTTACATCCTACATTGTCACCTGTATCCCAAATTAGTCTTTCAAAGCAAAATGGTCCTTATATCATACTCACAATAGAACATATTTGACACTCATGGTGTTGTCTTCAAAGTCCTCTAAGGGGCTACACTTGGCCATCGTCACATGCATGTCTTTCATTATAACAAACCGCTTTGTTGCTGTATACAACTCATCCTGAATCATAAAAATATTAAAATCATACGACTTTTGTAAAATAATGGACACCATACAAAGATATATCACGACTTTTCAAGCGCCAGGATATTTTGAAAAAAAAGAAGAATTGTTTTGTATTTTATTTCTCATTTAGAAAACAGAATTATAGTATTATTATTTACAATACTGTACCTGGCACAACCTAAATCAACTTACCAAGCCTTCAGGTCCATGCAGTGTTATATTTGGGACTCCGACATCTTGCAAGGTGAGTGACAATCCCGGCAGGCCTCCAATATTGCGCCATGTTTTAGTGGTGATGAAGATGTGGTCCAGTCGGGAAAGTTTCACCTTGTGCTCATGAGCAAGCCGCTGTGTGCATTCGCCACAGTTGAAGAGATATCTGGAAGAATACAAGTATGTGTTTGTCAAAGTATGTGTCTAGGAAATATATTTCTGTGCTAGAATTATTTTGGTTTGTAAGGCATAAGGCATGTATAGATCATTTCTATGTAATCATAAGAAAAGAAAGACGAATAAAGATTATGTCTGAATTCAGTTATGTCTGATTATGTCAGTTATTAGCAACAGGATGATACCATACACTACAGAATTACTTAGGTGATGCAAGAGAATGATAACTATTATTTATTTATGATGCAACAACTTTGCATTTATTCTATTCTACTTATTTTTAATCCCAATTATTACACATGACCCAGGAAATAGCCTAAATATCTCCTGTCTATTGTGTGATTTAACGAATAACGATCTATAAACTCTACCATTTAAAAACACCATACTGTGCCTCGGTCATAATTTTTAGCCAGGAAAAAATACCATGCTTACCATAAAAATAAACACAGTCTGACATGGAAATGTTGTAACTTACCGTTTTTGGTCTGTAAAGAGGTAAAGCGTGCTGGGCGCTCCTCTTGCGCCTGATCCAATCACCTGAAGGTATACAGTGCTTGGACCATATTTTTCACTTTTTTTTGTTATCTGTTGCCTTTGACGTTGGGCCTCAGCGATTCTGGCTGAAGTCGCTTTCGGCATATCGGCTAGAAATTCCAACAGCTTCTTAGTACTATTAGACGAGTAACCACGTATGCTACGTTTACTAACTACACGAGAACTAAACAATACACTTATACCGTACATGTGTTTTGAGGTTATTGATATATCGAGCCAAAGTTTACGAGCATTCGTCCCAGATTTTTACTTGTAATTGCTATTTTTGGCATAATTCATAATTATTTACTTATTGGTTTTAATGACACATTTTCAGATTTGGAACATTATTTGAGTTTTCCTCCGATATTCAGCAATTTCCAATCTTTTTACATTTGACATTAAGTTGACTGATTTTGACGTTAGTAACTGGCATTCGCGATAGTTCAAATGAGTCGATGAACACTTCATTAATTTCAGTTTAATTTGTTTTGGTGGAAATATTTCGTAAAATGATATAAAAATATTTACGAAGCGAATAAAGGTACACAAGAATTTAAAAATATATTTAGAAAACACTAAAACAGCATCTTATTTTATTAAGTCAGGGTTGCACTATACCTAAATTAGAAAAATACCAAAAATATTGCTACGTTGCAATATGACTGGTAGTAGAAAATTGAATAATTAAGCTGTAACACTGATTTAGAAAAATGGCGTTCTATACAGCTGCGGGTTGCGCAATTTTTATGTAAATGTGCACGAAATTTATTAGAAAAATTAAGTTATAAGTGCAACAAATATTTTTATGTTATATGTAATTTATAAAGTAAAAAAAGCATACAGTGTTACAATATTTTTAGTTCAGTGCAAACCTGTCATGGACCGTGTATTTTTTGTGTTGTGATGTATGAAAACGATAAATAATGAAACGGAAAATAATGCGGCTGTGCGGGCTGTGCAAATAATGTGACAATGATGGGTATGATATGGGTGGTGTTATTGGTGGCCTTGACCGGCTCACACTTGGGACACTGTTCGCCTCTCCGATCAACGCCGCAAACCTACCCTCATGGTGAGTCACTTTATCGTAAAGTTCATGTTTTACATTAATTAAATGATTATTAACTATCTCTTCTATTGTCGCCTGTGGGTGCAAGTGAAAGGTACAGGCAATAAGTGTTATAGTTTTGCCACTGACAATAATACTAAAAATGCTAACATCTGTTCAGATTGGAAAAGGGAAGTTAGACCAATTTGTAAAAGGCAATGATTAGATACCCGTTAAAACTCAGCTCTAATCTTGTAAATGTACCCGCGAAATAATTACTTAAATTGAAGGAATAACTGCTCTCCTATCCTACCTCTTGGTACAACATACAAAGCTTGTCCTTCCCTTTAAACATATTTATATGTTGCTATATGTATACAAAGTTTAAGCTGAATGCTCTACCATACATTATGTATGAAATCTGTTCTTCCTTATTTATTTTCACTAAAGACATGAAATTGAGTAATCAAAACATCAATTTGTGCATAAATTCTGCTATAAATATTAAAAAGATTGTAGCCAACATTATGTCAAGGTATAAAATATGTTAAAAGTAAATAAACACTCCTTATCTCCTTTGTTATCTAAACACTGTTATCTTTGCTTTTATTATTGTTTGGTTATTATAATAACAGTAATTCTAATTATCATATTAAGGAAACACCTGTGAGATTTGTGACAATGTTAAATTATAGCTAAAATCCTGTTTAATATTATTCATAAATAATTAATTGGATTCTTGTATGTTGACTGTATGAGAATCCAATTAGTAAATTTGTTTATTTAGTAATTGTAGTTGTAGGTCTACAATATTGTCCCATGAAGCAATGTGATCATAAATAAATTAATATTAATCTTTGTTAGTTGTAAAACAATTAACTTGAAGCTATGAATGATTTCTTCATAGTTCATTGCAACTCTAGAATTCAGCCTTGACATAATGTATTGCTTTTAATCAGAAACCAATTCTTACTAGAATCTTGTTATTTTTATACCATTACTATATTTTTTTATTACTATTTTGTAATGGGTTTTAGAAAGTGGATATAATTGTGTGATCTAGTTATTTATGATAGTACAAATAATATAGATTTAAAAAAATTAGAATTGTGGTAAGTAATAAACAAACATATGTTTTCAATACTACCTAATCACAAACAATACAAAACATCAATGTCTAATTAACAATCAATTAATAGATAAAAACGTAGGTACTTGGCATTATTCACAGTTTAAAACCTACACATTGCTTGATTAAAGTGAACACGAGACATAACACAATCATTGTCTACAGATGCGAGTTCCCAGTCTCAATTGGAGAGCTGGGGCTCCCAGGGCGGCATGTACGCGGCGGTGCCTGCGCTGGCGCTCCTCATCACCGCTGTCGGTCTGCTCCTTGGTTGCACCTGGTGTTACCGACATAAGGATTGCAAGGTAGGAAGAATATCATGTATCTAAAATTCTTACAATGTATAATAATCTGCGGATAATTGTTCCGGAGTCTAGATGTGTTAATGTGGATTGTGTTTGAAACCTACTGTACCTAGCTACTAAAGATTAAAAGAATAACTTACAATAGTTACTTCTTTACAAAAGATATTGTATTAATATAGTGTGTTGGACACTACCATACTGTTGATACTAGCGATATTATTTTTTGTATGTTTTGAATTAAACATGTTTCTACAAAATAGGCTAATTGAATACAAACTCTTTTGAAGTCACTTTAAAATTGACTTTTCACTAAAAACACCATTAAAATTGGCATAAACAGTAGCAAATAAGTAACATTTTGTATGTCCTGATGCATACTGATATACTTTTGTACTTAACAATAATGTTTATGCCCTACTTGACTCTTAGCTGTTGCATTCACATTGTAGATAATGACAAAGGGGATATAATATCCTGTTGTTCAGCTGTTCACACACATTAACATAAAAATATAAATGTTTGAGAAATAAAATATATTTAAAATAATAATTAAATACTAGAATTATTTACTCTGATTACATATTGTATTCAAAAAGATATAATTATAACCCTTAATTAAAAAAAACTGCGTTTAAAAAACCAAAAACTAATAACAAACAAAAAGTCAAAACTAAAGAGCAAAAAATAACTATTATTATTACTGATAGGTTACCCACCCACTGATAGGTAAGAAGTCGGTGCCATAAGTTCCATACAAAATTATTCATTAAAACCTTAATAGGTACCTAATTCACAATTTTGTGGACATTAAGTTATATCATTATGATATGAGCTTATGGCACCGACTTCTAACCTATCAGTGGGTGGGTAACCTATCAGTATTAATAATAGTTATTTTTTGCTTTTTAGTTTTGACTTTTTGTTTGTTATTAGTTTTTGGTTTTATGAAGTCGGTTTTATAAACACAGTTTTTATTTTATTATTTTATTATTTTCAGTGTAAAGCTACATATACTCGTTTTGTAATTTATAAACTACATAGGTGCAAAGTTCTAATCAATACAAATTATACAAGCCCAACCCAAGGTAGTTACTGTATGCCGTTGAGGAGTTCCCTTAACAATTACACTTCTTCATCATCAGACCCTTAATGACAGCCCCACTCTATCTAGATGTAAAGTCCTCATCAATACAAATTAATCAAGCCCAAACTCAAGGTAGTTACTGTATACCGTTGAGGAGTTCCCTTAACAATTACACTTCTTCATCATCAGACCCTTAATGACAGCCCCACTCTATCTAGATGTAAAGTCCTCATCAATACAAATTAATCAAGCCCAAACTCAAGGTAGTTACTGTATACCGTTGAGGAGTTCCCTTAACAATTACACTTCTTCATCATCAGACCCTTAATGACAGCCCCACTCTATCTAGATGTAAAGTCCTCATCAATACAAATTAATCAAGCCCAAACTCAAGGTAGTTACTGTATACCGTTGAGGAGTTCCCTTAACAATTACACTTCTTCATCATCAGACCCTTAATGACAGCCCCACTCTATCTAGATGTAAAGTCCTCATCAATACAAATTAATCAAGCCCAAACACAAGGTAGTTAATATAAACCGCTAAGAAGTTCCCTCGACTGTCTATCGGCTCCATCATCAGGTCGACTCTAGACCCTTATCCAATTGTAGTGTTTAACAATCGTAATTGAAAAACATAATAGACGCATTACTCGCCCATAGAATTTTCGAAAGTTCCCCTCGGTTTCCCTAGGATCCCATCATCAGATCCTGACCTCAGGGAAATGGGACCATCTCGGAAGTATACCCTTTCAAACAAAAAAAGAATTTTGCAAATCGCTTCACGCATCTCAGAGTTATGCGCGTACATACATACAAAAAAAAAAAAGCAACATACCGGCCGAACGTATAATCTCCTCCTTTTTTGAAGTCGGTTAAAAAGATGGATACTCTAATTGTGAATGACAATCATTATCATGTAGGTCTAGGTTACTTGCATTGACTTTAAAAAGTATGGAAAATACCTATTTCTTACAAGCCCATTTTTAATATGCCATAATAATAATAAGCCTTTTATTCAGATAAAAAACAAAAAATACTTTCTTACATTACGTGAACTAGAACATTTTTATTTAATTAAAATTTTTCGCGTATTTGGTGCTTCTTCACTTTTTGTAAATCCGTTTGCCAGTTGACAAAGGCCTCCTCCAACCTACTCCATTCTGATCTCTCTCTGGCTACTCTACTCCATGTTTTTCCAGCGACCTGCCTAATATCTGTTAGAAAAGAAAGGAGAACCATTTAAGATACAAAAAGGAGTAAGGCAAGGAGACCCTCTCTCTCCAAAACTCTCTCCAATATGCCATAATCTATTGTTAAAAATTTTACTACTAACAGTATCTATTAACATTTTTTCCCCACGTAAATAACATTCAGTGTATAATAACTACGAAACTTTCTCTTGCATTATTATTATTTTTATTTTTATTTACACAATCTATTTGATACTGAGTTCTCTAGACTATTTGGGGCTAGACGAGATAAAAAAAGAAATGTTAAATGTTTATTGTTTGTCTATTTCTTATTTGATACAAAAAATTTGAATTATAGCTTAACTATAAAGTTAGTACCACTAATCCTCTAGCGACATAAACAATATTCTAATTGCCTATATGTCATTATGCTGAATAATATTTTAATCTGTTCAGCAGTTTTAGTCCTAAAGTGTAACAAACATATCCTTAAGAGTGTATTATAAAATTTCATCACAAACAATGCACAGAAATGTTAAACATTTTAGCAATTTTGAAAAATGTATTGAATATTTGGCTACTTTTCCTTTTCAACATCCTTATTGGGATGGTCGAATGTCTAGAAGTCTAGATAATACGAATCTCTAACCCTAGCCAAGTTGTCTATCGTTCATAAAACATTTTTTTTTTTTTTTTTTATAAAAATAACGTTGCCCCACTTTAGGATTTTCTCCTGTGTCGTGGGTACCTTTACAAACATACAAGTTCACATACACATCACACCCAGACCCGAAACAACAATTTGTGGATCACACAAAGTGTTGTTCCGTGCGGGAATCGAACCCGCGACACGTTCCACGGCAGCCGGTTGCCCAGCCACCGCACCAACTGTGCAGTCAAATACATGTATCTACTAAGTCAGACAATGCACGGCCATTTAATATCGATTCTCGTTTGAAAGGCGGCAGAATGCATCAACTGTCAATTCCCATGTATGCAACACAAGTCACCAAGGGTCACCATTGTGTGCAGGTGAAAGGTTAATAACTTGTCACAGTTTACACGGCGTTGCGTTTTAATTTTATGTATACAAACAAACCTTTACCTTATTCGTTTTGTGCTGGGGATTTTTTTTTGGGAACATAGTTATAATAATACTTTCGAGTTATTCGATTCTGGATTAAGTGCAACTATTTATATGTAATTTTGAGACACTAAATGCCACTGTACAATGTAACACCCATTTTTCACTATTGATGTTATGAGTCTCATGTAATAGAGGATGAGCCTATTGCCATATACCGGGTTCAATTCCAGACCCGTGCTACTGAGTTTTTTTTAAATTCAGTAGTACTTCCCCCGAGCCGGGAACCTTACCTGAGACCCCTTGCCCAGGAGTCGCACTTGCGACCACTCGACCAACGAGGCGGTCGTGATTTAGATCGCTTTTGCATTATTAAACGCAAAATGAATCTCTTCGATTATCACTAGGTAACATTTCTGTTTGCAAAAAAAAAAGAAATAGAAACAAACACTAATATATCGTATAATCAAGTGTTTAAAGCCCACTCAGAATCCAACAACGTTTTCATTCGCGACTTACGTACAACGTACATAAATTCGCAACGGAAAGTTAGACACTTCTTTAAAACTAGTTTATGACCCAATAAAAGCATTTTGTACTGATACTTTCATAGTTTGTACGCATGTCCGTGCTAAATAAAGGTGAATAAACTTTATCATTTTGTAAACAATAACACAATTTGGTTTTTAGTTCAATACACTACAAATAATATGTATGTTAATTAGGAAATATTAAGAGCCATTAACATAATTTTTGGATATCTGTATTATTTTTATTGAAGCCAAACGTGATAATGTATTATGATAGGCTGTGAAACAAAATATCATCGAAAACATATTAGAATGATACTCATATAGACAGGAATGAGACATCTATTTAGTTCAATGATTTAATTGTAATAGCGTAATGACATATTGATGTTTGAATACCCTAAATGGCATCAAAAACATTTAGGTTTATCGCTCCATACACATGAATGAACCGAACCTCTTATCACTACCATTACAATGGATAACACATAATTAATTCTCGTCGCGAGCGTCATACACTTGGTCCCATGTGATGTCTAACAAAAGTTGCAGTTGTGTATCTAATCAGTGGCCGACGGCTGGGGTCAATGCACCCGGCACGCCCTCGAACACAATACACGCGCAAGACAATAGTGCAGATCCCGTGCGCCCTCGAAATGAGCATCTGGCCGAATACCGAGCGAATTAAGAGTACCCAAATAAGAGAGATGTAAGATTATCATACATTTACATAGGCCGTTGTTAATACGCGAGACTGGCCTCCAAATATCTAGTACAAAGAAAGTAAGGAAACCAGGTCTCCTACTTATGATGGTCCTGTAGTTTACCGCATGCGAATCACTTTTGTATCGTAGGTAAGTATTTCCTAAATTAAACTTCTGCTCCGCGTCTGTCCTTCGTTATTCTATTGTGACCGGAATAGGGGCATTGTGTCGCGGGAGATTTGATAAAATATCCGCAAATATTCTGAGAAAAGTGTGCTTTAGTGTGACGGGCAAAGATTTTGTTGAGTGCCCCTTCAGAGTAATGGGAGACGATAACTGTTTATTTTTCGCGTGGGTCGTCTATGACGTCATTGTTACGCTATTCTCGGCCTTCTAACTGTCCCTT